TTACTAAAGCTATAATAAATATTACGTATTTTAGTAAAGTATTTATCGAAAGTTTCCTTACTAAAGAACTCCTTTTAAATAGGTTTAAATTATTTAAGGGCTCGTTCCTTAAGGAAGCTAGTAATATATATAACCTTCTTAGTTTTATTAGTAAAGTTTCCGTAATAAAAGTTCTAATAATTCTTAACCTAAATTAAAAATCCCTTAAGAGTCCTTAGGGTACTATTATAAGTAATAAGTACGTTAAGTTTAAGTTTTTATTATTTTTATAAAGGGTATAATAATAATATTAGCTATAGTTTAGAATATATTAACTTATTAAGTAAAGAATTCGGCTTCCGTTTTATTCTCTAGCTATTTAAAAGTATCGTTTAGTATTCTTTAAACCTAAGTAATATTATTATCGTTTTTTTAATTATCTTAATAAGCTTAGTATATACCTTTTAAAAATCTTAATTTCTCTATTCTTATAAAAATTAATATTTATAAGGTTAAGTTCCTTAGTAAGCTCTTTAGCTAAGGTTTTACTCTTACTAAAACTACTCTTAGAAGAGGTAAGAGTTATCTTAGAAAATATTATTTTTACTATTTAGTTAGTTATTATAAAGTAAACTTACTAAATAGGAATAATTAAAATATTATAGCTAGCTAGTTATAATAAGTATATTAATAAAAATTAAAGTTACGAATACTAAATAAATAATATCGTAATATTATAAATAGCTTCTTTAAAGCTATATTTATAAATTGTAAAATAAGTAAGGTTTTAGTAATTAATCGTAATTTTATTAAAAAGGTTCTTAATAAAAATAGTTAAAAGCGATTATAAAATTTAATACTAAGTTAATTACTAAAAAAGCTATAGGAAGTCTATCCTCGAGCCCGGCTCGAGTCTATATTATATATAAGTCTTATTCCTAAATATATCTTTTATAATACTACTATTTATGATTACCTAGCCGTTTACTAAATAGTCGTCCGTCTTATTTATATACGATTACCCGTCTTATTTTTCTACGGGCGTCCGTTTTTTATCTTATTATATAATCGTAGTTACGTAACTTATTTATAGTTTTTTTATCCTAAGAGGAGTTACCCTAAGTTCGTATTTCTATATATATAGTATAGTAGCTACCGTAGGTCTTATAGAGTAGGCCCTGGCCTTATTATGCGTATTAGGTCATAATAATTTAATTAAATTTAAAAGTATTTAATTATATTAAAAACTATTAATTAAAACTTAAAGTATTAATTAGAGTACTTAATTTAAAGTATTCATTTATAATATTTAATTAAGAGTTTAAAAGAGTTTTTAGAAAATATTTTATATTTTTAAAGTATTTAATAAAACTATTTAATAAAAGTATATATAAAAATTATTTATTAAAAATAAGAGTATTTGATTAGAGTTCTTAGTTTATTTAAAATGTTTAGTTATGATATTTAATTATAATAAGAGTATTTAATTAAAAGTATTTAATTATTTTAGAGTATTTAATTATAAATATTTAATTAATAAAGAGTATTTAATATGACTTTTTAATAAAAGTATTTAATATAAATATTTAATAATAATAAAATATTTAATTAAGAATATTTAATTGGGATAAAATTATTTAATTAGAGTACTTATTTGATAAAGGTTTTAATTAGAATATATATTATATATTATTTTTAATTATTTTAAATACTTTAATTAAATACTTTTATTTAATTATTTTAACTAAAAACTTACTCTTATCCTAAATTATAATTACTCCTTTTTTCTTTTTTAGTTTTTAGTTTTATTTTCGTAGCTTACTCACGATGTCTTCTACTTAACTCGTTCGTTTATTATATTCTTTTTATTCCCGGCCTATTTCTATTTTACAAGTCTAACTTTCTTAAGGCATCTTAACTCATTCACTCGTTGAGCTCTTTTTATTCTCCTTCTATTCTATAGTCCAACTTCCTCAAGACTCATTCGCTCGTTAAGCTCTTTTCATCCTCCTTGTATGGTCCAACTTCCTCAAGACTCATTCACTCGTTGAGCTCTTTTCATCCTCCTTGTATGGTCCAACTTCCTCAAGACTCATTCGCTCGTTGAGCTCTTCTTTCCTCCTTTTACGCTACAAGTCTATGGGCCCCGTTTCCTCAAAGCTTCTACCACCTGACTCAACAGCTCGTCGAGCTCTTCCCATAGAGGCCTGGCCTTCGCGGCTTCCCGCATAGCTCTGTCAAGTTCCTCTTTCCTCTTGTCGAGTCTGGGCTGGTGGATCTGTGTCCATTCAGTGGCCAGCTTCTCGATCTGGAGCATGTCTTCTTCCATTTTGACAGCAAGTTTGACGTTGTTTTCTTGGATAGCTTTTGCTTCTTGCAGGTTCTGCAGGCACTCCTTCCGGTCTCGAATGTCCCGTTGGGACGCGGTGAGGTTCTCTTCCATTGCAGTGCTGTGCACGCTGACACTAGTTTCCGCATCTAGTGAGTACTTGTAGCCCGATCTGTTCGCACCGCCCTCGGCGATATTGCAGCCGTCTTGCAAGACGTATGAGCGTGCCAGGGCAATAACGAGTCTCTCTGCAACAGGCAGCTGGGTTCGCTTCCACGTAATCATGACGACTCTGCGTGTGATTGCTGGCTCCAAGCCCATGTGTCTTAGTGCAGAGATCAACAAGGCAAGGAGATTGTTGATGCCGCCAAGGTTTGTCGAGAGGCTGTACTTGGGGAGCGTCTCATTGAGCTTCGAAGAGCAGCCGATGTACAGTGGGCATTGTTCTTGGTGTATTGCCGCCTCGGCGACCCCTGGGAACATGGGCGTCCTTCTCCGTTGGAGGTTCTCGATGAATGCCATGACGTGCTGGTGTTGTGTGTCGTTGCAAATGAAGCGCGTCTTGGCAGCGGTCCACTGTCCGTTGACAGCCAGGTCGATCTCTTTCGCGATGCTCGTTTTTACCGACTCCGTTATGCCCCTTGGTGCGCCTCTCTTGTGAATAGTGTAGGCATCTGCATACGTTTGTAATGCCGTAGTCAGTTCGCCAAGTTCCGACCAGTTTAGAAATTTGCCGTCGCGGCCGTCGACACTGACGGCAATCACGTAGATGCCTGCCTCACTGGAGTCCTCGTCGTAGTCGTGAGGCCGGTTCGGTCCGAAATCCATTGCCACAGTTCCTTTGATAATGGACCGTAAGAGATCGCGCGGTATGATGTGCAACACCTCCGTCGTTTCCCAGCCTCTGGCATGGTCGAGCCGAAGCTGCGCTATCGTACAGTCAGGTTGCTTGGTCATGCCCGCCGCAATGAGCTCGTTGGCGATATCGGGAAAACACAGTGTCAGCTCGTAGAGCGAATCGCCGCGGTCTAGTACCTTCAACATGTCTACTCTGACACCGTCCATCAAGGGGGTCTTTGAAGAGGGGCTGTAATTCGCCATTGTGCAGAATTGTGATTTGTGGATGTAGAAAACGTTCAGAAGGAACGTTGAGGGTGTATGATGGCGAAAAGCTTTTCCCGGTGTTGGGCAGGTCAGCATGGGAAGGAAGGAGGTGCGTTTCGGCAAGGGGTCACCCTTCCCGGGTAGGCAGTCACGCATGTCACTTGGTTTTTCAAAAAGAGAAGGAGAAGATGGGTCCCCACACTTGCTGTTATCCTGTACTGCTACATCTATTGTCTTATTTTCATGGCATTGTTGGGCCATCGTCGGCGTGGCATGTGTACTCTATGCAGGGGGCTCATTGCGATGGTAGGGCGTCTGGGTTCTTTGATCAAAGATCCCTATTTACTTGTTCGTTTCTTTTCATGTTTCCTATGTTGGTTCTGAATGGTGCAGACACAGGCCCCTGAGACTGTCACCTAACTGTGCCGTTACCACAATACATCGCGATACTCACTTGAATGACGCTATATATTGAAAAACTGGGCTGTGGCGCTCCGGATGTGACTAAGGATGGTTTTCGCCTACTCGAGAAGAAGCTGAACACCATATAGCCTGTGTGAAACGACAGGTGTGCCTCAACGACTGAAGCTGTTAAGACTCTCATTTCAACCTTAACGGCAATGGTTCCATGCGCCAAAAGCCCATGGTCTAGCAGTACATGTTTCGCCATTCATATTTCAAGAGTTCTGGTGTAAATGGCTTCCAGGCGGCCAAACACTGGAGTGCCTCGTAGATCGTCGCAATATATATTGTCTTCCTTCTCGGCAGTCGCGGCGGGGATGGGAACATCTATTCGACAGGTAATTACAGTAGGCCGACTCGAGATAGACGTGATGCTAACTCCTCGCATAATTATCTAGCCTTTGGGACTGCTCGTCTGGTTGGACGTGTTGCTGTGTCATTGTGTTGGCGTCTACCGTCCTACTATTCGCGGCAACGTCTTGGAATGTTTCTCTTCTTTCCGTTTTGACTTGTCAAGTTAGAAATATGTAAAGGTATTAAGTGATTCAATGAATTTACTCTGAACTGCTAGCTATCAAAAGTTCCGTGTAGATGTTGCGATGAGGAAAGGAAGACGGCCAAAGTCGTGTAAGTGGAAGGACTGGATGGGGTCCTTCTAGAAAGGAACAGATGTAAATGAATCACCAGAGCCATGAACCGAAGTAACTTGGTGAGTCCGAGGAGGTAGCATTCTCTTAGAGGGACAATGATTATCCACTTCTCGCTTTCTCAGGAGAAGCTTCTTGTATGTAAGTAGCGCCCTGATGTTACGGCTTCTTGAGTCTCGGAGGGCTAGTGTGACGGGTATTCCGTGTTTTATTTTCTCTCAGTTGATGAGAACTGCCTAAGGTATAAAAGCTTATTTACTTGACTCACTGAATGATTGCTCGGGGATGTGGAGCCGTTGCTCTTTCCCTTTTGGTTTTTTGGGACTCGAGGGGAGTCCTAAGGTGAAGCATCATCTTCCCATTGGACCCACTTTTAGCACTTGCCTCGTCTCGATGAGATATCTTCTTGTGATTTTTTCTCCTTTCTCATCCACCATTTTTTCATTCAATTTCTCCAATCGAAAACCAAAATTCACAAAATGGGCAACAGACCACCAGAAAATTGGCGAATGCCAAGGCCAATGCCACCACAACACACCCCTGAAACGGCTATCACCAACTATGTAAGAGAGATGAGCATGGCCATTGCTACGCAAAATCGACAAAATACCGAGATCTATGAACGCTTTTGTGCCAACATGTCCATTGCTACGCAAAACCGACAAAATGCCGAGATCCATGAACACTTTTCTGCCAAGATGGCCATTGCTACGCAAAATCGACAAGATGCCGAGATCCATGAACGCTTTTGTGCCAACATGGCCAACGAGTCACGACAATCCAATCGACACGACAGTCGTCCTGAGTACAACAACAAGTATGTCGAGCCCGCCTTTGACTCCCACGATCCATACGGGACAGAGAGCAACAACCAAGACCATTTTCAGAATAACCAGGCCCCCTACGAGGGTGGAGGCAACAACCAGTCGGGAGGATTCAGGTACAACAACCAACATGCCGAGCCCTACTTTGACCCAAACGATCCCTACGGAACAGAGACCTACGCACAAGTCCCTTATCAAGACAATAACAAGGCCCCCTACGGGGGCGGAGGCAACAACCAGTCGAGGGGACGGCGCAGGTACTTTGTCGAGCCCGCCCCTGAGCCCAGCTTTGAATCCTACAACCTCTACGAGACCGAGACCAACACCCAAGCCCCTTACCAAGGCAACAATCAGACCCTCTACGAGGGCGGAAGCAACAACCAGCCGAGGGGACGGCGCAGGACCTATGTCGAGCCCCCTCGAGAGCTCGGCTTTGAATCTATGAATCCCTACGGCCCACGACGATTCAATCGACGCGACAATCGTCCCAAGTACAACAGCGACTATGTCGAGCCCCCCCGAGAGCCTGGCTTTGAATCTATGAATCCCTACGGGCCCGAGAGCAACAACCAGGGCCCTTACCAAGGCAACAATCAGACCCTCTACGAGGGCGGAGGTAACAACCGGGCTCCTCATCAAGGCAACAACCAGCCCCCCTACGAGGGCGGAGGCAATCACCAGTCCAGGGGACGGCGCAGGACCTATGTTGAGCCCCCCCGACAGCCCGGCTTTGAATCTGTGAATCCCTACGGGCCCGAAACCAACACCCAAGCCCCTTACCAAGGCAACACCCAGGCCTCCTACGAGGGCGAAGGCAACGACCAGGCCCCTCATCAAAACGACCAGGCCCTCTACGAGGGCGGAGGCAACAACCAATATGCCGAGCCCGGCTTTGGATCCTACAGCCCCTACGGGACAGAGACCAACAACCAAGTCCCTTTTCAGGGCACCCAGATTCCCTACGAGGGCTGGGGCAACAGCGAGGGTTGGGGCAACAGCGATGCTGGAGCTCAAGCAGAGACAAGCAACCAAGGGAAAGAGCTGTTCCCAAGGAAAAGAGAAAGAGATTCTCAAAACTCGCAGGCCCGCAACAACCGCAGTCGCTCGCGGCCATCGCAGCGAGAGAGAAGCCTTGCGGACCGTATTAGCTTGCCGCCGAAAGCGAAGATTGTTCTTCACACAGTTGTCGAAAGCCCGCGACTGGGCCAGCCTTTTGGAGGCAAGTACAAGATGACAGAAGAGGAACAAGAAGAAATTCAGCTCTTTGGCGACGACGACGTATTTGAGAAGGACCGTTTCGCTAACGACAACCAATGCGGCAACTGTGGCCACTATGGTCACTGGCTCGGCGACTGCGCCTTCCCCGACGATCAAGGCACCATCATGGGTTGCCCGCTGTGCAATACCAAGCTGCATTTTTGGGACAATTGTCTGAAAAAGGACTCGCTTACAGCGAGGCAGCAGGTTGAGTTGATGCTGCTGAGGCGCAGAAGAAAGCCCATGATCCGCTCTTCGACATCTCTACGAGATCTTATAGCGGGTGCTCTATGGGAAGGAATGGAGAGCTTGCTCAACGAAAAAGGTCTGCCGTGGACCCAGGGCTACACGATGAAGCTCATCAAGAAGAGAAGAAACCAGCCATGGCTAAAGTTCGACCCCTTTGAGACGGAAAAGTTTCCTGAAGACCCTGAGACTAAAGGAGATGTGCGGGACGTTATGGAAAGGTCCATTGCTGAGAATGAATGCCATCGCCCACGCGCGATGATACAACCAAAGAAGCGACGAGGGTGATTCTCTCTCTCCGCAATGGATAGCATAAGAAGAGGCCGATGAGCAAGTGAGGATAGGAAAGGACACAACGTGTCGGGGTTGAACGAGTGAGGAAAGGAAAAGACACAACGTGTCGAGGGTAACATCCTGTAGCAAAAAATTGATGCATTTACCTTTCCTATTTGTCACATGAACTTGCCGAGGTGACGTTACAAGATTCACTCTTCTTGTAATCACCATAATATCACAGAAACAGCCCAGTGTGAAAACGTGCTCGTAGAGGAAAGATCCTTTTCAAGTGCTTTCCAGCATGACACTACAGCGGCAATTGTAAATGTGCTTTGTGCAGCGACAACAACACCGGTAAGTCAAAGTGTCCTCCAGTCCGTCAGTATCATAGAAGCAAACGGAGGTCCAAGACACGGTGGGTTTCGCTCTTCCAAATAAGTCGAAAACTTAACTTGACGGTACATAGGAGGTGTTGGCGATGAATTAGCCAGCCAGGTGGCGCCTTTTGGAGGCCACGAAGATGTCTGCCGTGGCTGAAGGAAAGCCTAATTGTGTAATCGCGAACACAAGGTATCTTGGCTAGGTATTTATCAGACATGTATAGCCGTGCTTGCGCATGATTTCTGAAAGAAGAAACCTCATCATCTATTTGACGACTACCATTCTCAACTATCGTAGCCTCTCAGATTCCAGTCTTCCACATCAGTAGATAGGGACAGGCAAGACCAGCCAAAGGGGCATCGCCAAACCCAGGATCGCACTGCACAACAAGAAGACCCCTTCAGTACTAGAATCCATCTTACTCGTCTATGAGAACAAATCAATCTCACAGCCATGTCGATAATCAGCAGCCTGCCCGCAGAGCTCCACCTCGCCATCATGAAGCGAATGAACCCCGAAGAGATCCAGCCGTGGATCCGAGCAAACCCGGACGCATTCAGATGCTTTTCCACATACAGCTTCACAATTTTAAAGAAACATGTCCCGGAGATAGGCCTGATTTCCGATCTCCAAAATCGGGTCTGCGACTACAAGTTGATCGGTGTCGAAGTTCACGACGCGTCCAACCCTTCAGCCAACCCCAAATTCGGCATCACATCCAAGACGACTAGCATCGGCTGGCCAGCGACCCAGGTCACCACGCTGGCCCTACTGAGGCTCCTCGTAGAAGCCCGCGCTCATAGACGTAAGGCCAATCGTCTTCGCTTCAACCAATGGTGGGGGGCATCATTTGACCAACAACTGTGGACGGAGGAACGCAAGATTTCCTCGACGTTTGTAGAATTGTTGAAAAGGACCCCGGGGAACCACACCACAGCGTTATTCATGGCGATGTTTGACAATTTCGTCGTAACATAGACGGATGAGCCGCGAAAATATCGCCACGGTGGACTGTTTAGGTTGGGAGGTGGTCTGTGGATCAGGATGGATGGCATGCATTTGTACAGAGAGGAGCAAGTTCGCTCAGTGTCACAATGAGCTTAATTCAAGGCAACACAATCAACACAATTTGCGACCATGTCAAGCTGAAAATTCGTACTGTAGCCCCATATCTGGGGCTTCTTGAGATATAGACTCCAATGTCTCCTTGTCATCCCTTTGGTTCAGATCCTGAAGCAAAAAGCAGTGTATTTCCTGCTATACTTGGCATTTCCCATGCCAATTCCCTTGTCTAGACCTTGTAGAAGCAGAAAGCAGTGTAGAAGCTCGCCGCCTCCAACTCCTCCGGGGAAACAAGGAGACGTCCACCGCCACGTTCCCGAACCCCCATTCTCTCACTCAAAGGACCCAAAGTCTCATCGTCCTTCTCCGCGTCCCAAATCTCCATGAAGGTCTTGTGATACTGCAACTCGAGGTTGTAGTCTTCAGCAAGAGCTCTGAGGACTTCCCACGGCACGACATACTCGGGGACCTCTTCGACAGCTTCGTCTAGGAAGAAGTTGTACTTCCAACCGAACGCGGGGCGGAAGACGCCATCTGCAGGTGTCTTGCCTGGGAATCGGACTCGGTAGATGGAATTGCCCCACTCTGCCGACTGATATGCCTCGCCATCTTCCAATTCGCCCTCCTCTGCTTCTTGCGGCGGTTCCTCTGCGGCCTTCTTCTTTTTCTCTTCCTGTTGCTCGTTGAACTTGCGAACGTGGTCACCAAGGACGTCAGAGTTGGGAATACAACCGATCAAGCGACCTCCCTTCTTCAATGAGCCTGCCACGTTGCGCAGCATGGTCCGAGCCTTCTGCTCCGTCTCGAAGGCATAGTGCATGCAGAACATCATGCTCACGACGTCGAATCCGCGTCGGCTGAGAGGACTGGTGTCGAATCCGACTTGTCTGATGATCTCGACATCCTCAATGTTCTCGCCGTAGCAGTCCTTGACCTGGAAGCGTGCCTCGAAAAGCCGAGGAGGTGGCCGTCTGTATCCTCCTCTACCGCCCCTGCCACCGCCTCCGCGGCTGCCCATCTGGCGGTAACGCTCTCGAGCCTGGTCAATGCTGATATCCGCAGGATCGAGACCGACGTAGAGCTCTACTGATTGAGGTGCTTGCTGCCATTTGCCAAGGTCACCTCCCTTTCCACAACCGACGTCGAGCACGAGGAGCTCCTTTGCGCCCGGCTCGCGAGAGCCCGGGGTGTAGTCTTCATCTGGCGAGAACTTCTGAATGATGCAACTCTTGATCCAGTTATTGAAGGCGCGCAGGCCCTTGATCTTGCTGTCGGTTCGTCTCCAGTCTCTACCGCGCTCTGGTACACTGTTGTAATGCTGCGTGACAACATCGTTGTTGGTGCCGCGCTGGCGCTCAGCTGCAGCGTGAGCCGCAGCTTCCAACTCCTTCTCCCTGTCGAGTGCTCTCTGGCGGATGGCCTCTCTTTCGGACTCGGATATGCGAGCGCGGGCACCTGGTCGCTTCTGCTTGCGAGGCTGTTCAGAGGGAGAGACGGCTCGGCGCTTAGCGGGCTGAAGCTCCTTCGCATTGTAGGGTTGGGGGAGTTCATCGGTTCCATCCTCGCGCTTGTTGCCTCTTCGTGAGGAATTGCCGTTTCTCGAGGGCGATTGTGATCTTTTGCGTTTCTTCGCGTCGTATGAATGAGACTCTCGCTCGTACGAATCGTCGTCGTCGTAACCCGCCATTGTCTCGAATCAGACGTGAGAATTCTTTGTTTGTAAAGTCAAATATTGTCGTCTCCCGTGGAAATTGCAGGCTGCTGTTTTTGTTTCCAGAAATTGATTGTGAAAGTAGGGATGTGAGAAAGTTGATGCGAACTGTTGGAGAGGAACAAAAGCTGCTGTTGCGAAGCGTCGCAAGAGGTAGGTAGGGGGAGTGTACTGGGGTACCTGCTGAGGAAGGTAAAACCCACCTTTGGATTTATTATAGATACGGAAGGTGTGTCGTTAGAAACGAACGCTCTTTCTCAGTCTGGACCCAAAGAACAATATTCATATTTACTATGCTGTCTCTTCATATACACTGCTAAAGTTTGGATATAGCCAACTTGACATCTTGAAAATTTGTTAAACGCAATTCGGCAGTTCAACTAAGGAGGTAGGCGCAGTGCGGGTTGTCTCGTGCTTGCAGGCAGGTCCGGTACGTGTCGCGCTGCAGCCTTGCTGGCTTGACTAAGCTCACCCCCAGCAATAGACCAATCACGTCAGCCTTTGGCCAGACGCTTGCGGGTTGCAGGGGGCTTTCCTGAGCTCCCAGCTCCAAACACCACCATACAACGACATCACTCTTGCTCACCCAGTAACGCATCCCGCAGCCTCAACCTCTTTGATTTCTCCCCTCCTCAGCAACCGACCACGACCCTTTCCAGACGCCTTCGTACAATCAACCGCCAAGATGGGCTCAGAACCCCAGTACGCAAAGTACCCTCTCCTTCCTCTCGCCCAGCATGTCTTCGCCCTCACAAACGCCTACGCATCCCGGCCATCTCAACAATCCGCCGCGAAAGCTCTCAATGATGCCATCACCGAGCACAAGATGGCACCGCTCTACCGGTACCTCGCACACCCCCTCGAGGGTATTCTGAACCAAGTTGGCGAGGGTGGCAGTCAGACCCCCGGCAAGCCGCTGAGTCGGAAGTCGAGTCTGGCGGGCATGATTGCCACCAAGACCACCCCCACCGCAGTCAACCTACCCTGGGACGAGGCCAGATACCAAGAGCTGAAGGCCAACAACGACAAGGAGTTGGAAGAGTTCCAAAAGGAAGAGGATGAGGCCGTTGAGAAGGCTGGCGAGACCGAGATCCAGGCCGCGCGGGGCAAGCGCGCGGAGTTCTGGGCTAGAGTCGGCGACAAGGTGCGATTGGAAAGACTATTAACTTACCAAGGAAACTCTGACTGACCCCCTTGACAGGACCGGGCGATCGCCGCATACGAAGACGTTTTCGAGAAGACCGGCATCCTGGGCACCAAGATCGACTTGGTTCTCGCAATAATCCGCATGGGGCTCTTCTACGGCGACAAGCTTCTTGTCAAGAAGCACGTTGAGCGCGCAAAGACCCTGGTCGAGTCCGGTGGTGACTGGGATCGTCGCAACCGTCTCAAGGCATACGAGGGTATCTACCTCTTGACGGTCCGGTCATACAACTTGGCCGCCCCGCTCCTGCTCGACAGCTTGTCCACCTTCACCAGCTACGAACTCTGCACCTACTCCTCCCTCGTCGTCTACTCCGTTCTCGCCGGATCTGTTTCCCTGAAGCGTGTCGACTTCAAGAGCAAGGTTGTTGACGCCCCCGAGATCAAGGCTATTCTGGGTGATGGAGAGGACAAGCTCCTCGCTCTGTCTGGTGCTCTCAGCGCCGGTCCCGGTGCCGACGACGCCATGCACGACGCACCGCCCGCCGCTGCCAAGACCGCGGTGAACTTGACGACTCTCGGCACAAGCACCGACCAGCCCGAGGCCGAGATGGCTATTGACTTCTCGCCTTTGGCTCAGCTTGTCTCCAGCCTGTACAACGGCCAGTACAAGTACTTCTTCCAGGCCCTCGCCCAGGTTGAGGAGTCATTCCTCACTCAGGATCGCTACCTCCACGAGCACAAGAACTGGTTCATCCGTGAGATGCGTCTGCGCGCCTACCAGCAGCTCCTCCAGAGTTACCGTGTGGTTGGCCTGGAGACAATGGCTACCGACTTTGGCGTCACTGTTGACTTCCTGGACCGGTATGATTCTCTCTCTTTCAGCTGCACCGGCCGTATCAGACAACTGACTTCATCTCCAGTGACCTTGCCAAGTTCATCGCAGCCGGCCGCATCCCCTGCACAATCGACCGCGTCAGCGGCAAGGGCGTCATCGAGACCAACCGCCCCGACGACAAGAACAAGCAGTACCAGGACGTCGTCCGCCAGGGCGATCAGCTTATCACCAAGCTCCAGAAGTACGGCCAGGCTGTGCGTTTGAGAGGAAGCGAGCGGGCATAATCAGCCAAAAGAGGGAGGTGACTGGAAGAATGACGGAGAGCTTTTTACCCACAATGCTATTACAATCGTGTGTCCCTTAGTCAGGCTTGGGACTTTAAAAGGCGCGAGGTAGAAACGGCAGGCGGCGAATAGAAACCGGGGATTGGGGCAAGCAAATGTGTGCTACTACAATAACTCTCTGTATGATACCTACGGATTAGACAAGCCAATTTGAGAAATCTTGGCTTGACCGAGGCCCACATGATGTGACTGTGTAAAGCTCAGATGCGCAGCCTTGGTCAAATGATATGGATGGGAGCGGAATCTTGCTATTCTCGCAAGCTATGCTCATAAAGTGTCATCAACACCTACCAAATCCCAGAGATCTTGCTAAAACAAACGAGATATCTACTCTACGCCTCGTACGTGCTCATCGATATCTGCTTTTATCCACCCTGGATACGTGCTTCCGGAAAAGGACTACGCAAATTCGTTCGTTTCAAATCTAGATATTCCCAGCCGCGCTACCATCCAACGCGACTGGCTTCCTCGCACCTTCAAGGTCCCCGCACAAGAAAAATCGACTAGCTGCTGCACCAAACTCGCTTACCGGTACTTCTCAATGAAGTCCTTGTGGAAGTTGATGATGCGACCGACCCAGTCGGTGCCGGGAGCAAGGAAAGTAGTGCGGAAGTGCAGGGTACCCTCCTTTTGACCGAACCCGCTGCCGGGAACGACGCAGACGCCGGTGGCTTCGAGCATGCGCATGCAGTAGAACTCGTCGGCGGTGCGGCCCTCCTTCTGGGCAGCCTCGGTGGCCTTTGCGGGAAGCTTGATGGTGGGGAAGAGGTACATGGAGCCCTGGGGAGCGCCGCACTCGACGCCCTCCATCTGGTCAAAGGCCTTGTGGAGGGCGGTGGCGCGCTCCTTGAGACCGTTGAAGATACCGTCGTACTCCTTCTTGTACAGCTCGTAGCTCGGCTCGCCCTCCTTGGGGGGGTTGACCATGAGCTCGACGATGCACTGACCAATAACGGGAGCGCAGAGGGTGATGGAGACGAACTTGTAGATGTTGGCCTCGACCTCGGGGTCGAAGTTGACGAGCTCGAAGTAACCGCCGCGGTGACCGCACTCGCCGACCATACCCTTGGAGATGGAGTGCAGGGAGGCGAGTTCGACACCGTCGTACTTGCCGGGGGTCTCCTTCTGCAGCTTGCGCAGAACGCTCTTGAAGGAGTGGAACTTGCCAACGAAGACGTTGGTCTGGTAGACTTCGTCAGCCATCACCACAAGCTGCTTCTCCGCAGCGTAGTCGTAGACGGCGCGGATGTCATCCTCAGACAGGGAGGCACCGGTAGGGTTGCCGGGGTTGATAATGACAATAGCGCGGACATCGGTGCCCTCGGAGGTGGCCTTCTCGTAGGCAGCCTTGATGGTGTTCAGGTCGGTACCCCAGCCAGCGGCCTCGTCGAGGTAGTAGGGTACGCAGGTGGCGTTGAGGACGGACAGTGTTGCGGTGTAGAGCGGGTATTGAGGAATGGGCACAAGAACACCGCTTTGAGCGTTCTGGGCGATAATGTGAAGGAGGGTGTTGACTCCGGAAGAGGCACCGCCAGAGAGGTAAATGTGGGCGGGATCGGCGGGGAATCCGTCGCGGCCTGCAGAGATCTTTGTCAGTTTTCACACTCGGCCCAAGGTGAAGGCAGATAAGGACATACGCTCAATAAACTTAGCAATGCTCTCCTTAATGGCGGGAACACCAGCACTGGCACTGTATGCGCCAACAGAGCCGACCTTGCTCAAGAGGAACTTGGCGCGAGCGATGGCATCGCTCTTGTATCCGAGCTGGTTCTGCAAAACATCCTCGTGCTCGAGAAGCAGGGGGTTCTCGAGAAGACTGACAACCTGGCGGAAGAAGGTAATGGGCTTCTGGTCGAGCTGCTGGGGGTTGCCGATGTTGGCCGAGATAACGGCGTCAAAGGGGAGGTCCTTGTCACCCTTGGACAGCTTCGCTCGGTATTCCTCCGACTTCACGGCCAACTCGCCGCGAACAGCGTACTCGGCAGCAACAACATGCTGGTTGATGTTGTGCACATTCAGCCGACGGCTCGGTGTGGTAGACATGGTTCGATGGTGGGGTGACGAACGGCTGTTGCTGCTGCTGAAGAAAAGTTGCCTTTGAGATGGCGGGGTATTGGAGAGGAAGATCTTAGGGGACCGCGGGGTATCTGTGCAAGAGTCATATAAAAGTTAGTAAAAGGGCTTCTGCCGCGCAACAGTGGAGATCAAGGTAGAAAAACACCTGGACTCGAATCGATAACACCGGGAAGAGCCGAGCAAAGAAGAGAAAAAGTTGGGAATGCTTAGAGGAGAGTAGGAAGAATGAGTCTTGAGAAAACCCTGAAAACGTACGCAGCCACCTCAAGTGCTATTTATTTAGCTCTTCGTCAACGAAGGGCAATCAACAAGCAACCAAGTCTCGGACGCGGGGGCCGTTACAACAGTGCGCAATGTTTAATTGATGGATTAAACGGACAGAGGGAAGAAAAAGACGGCAAAGTTGACAGGAAATCAGCGCATCTTCTTCCTGTCATCGTCCGATGCAGTAGCTCTTATTCAATAACTCTGACAGCCGCAAGCCTACTTAGGCTGGTACTGTGACCTCGGGGGCACGAGACATGACCCTGCGTGGCATCGTTTCTGTGCTGCCGCGGGATGGCTTCCATGACGGGCTGTGTTTGCCCCCCTCCAGTGCGGGACGCCAGCCGAGCACTTGCTGGTGAGTCGTAGACGAAGACGTGGATCAGACCCGGTCGTGTTTGGCGCGGGTTTGCCTCAAAGGCCTGTGTCCGAAACCGGTGACGGCAGGACAAGGGGGAAGCCGGTCAGCGCGCCTAGAGGCTAGAGCTTCTACGGATTCTCCCGCCAGGGTATTTCCGAATCCTCGACGCCTTGATGGAAAAAGTCCAGTTGCCTATGCCGCAAGAGAATGGAAAGTGTGGGGGTCCACGTGGGAGTAAAGCGCGCTTGATCGAACTTGAGAGGAAAATGATCAAGTGCCTTGTCCGTTTGTTCGGTGAAGGATGGCGAATAAAGAGAGGTGGCGTACGGTGTAAGCTGGCGAGTGAAAACAGGTGGGGGAGGAAATCGTAGCTTGGACGGGAGCTGTCCCGTTTGAGCGGTGCTGGACAAGCAAGCTTGGGATAGCTTCGAGCACCAACCTTCCACTTTCAACCATACAGGAATAGCTCTTGGTCTGAGAACAGGGCTGGGAGCAAACACCAATGTGAAGCAAACAAGATGTTTGAGGCAGTGGAAAGACGATTCGCTCAGCACTGCGACGTACCATTTGATCTGCCTCCGCTGCTCATCAATCGCACTTGGCTCGCGGCAGCCTGACTCTTCGGTGCTCCCAGCGACCTGGCCGCGGTGCAAGCCACTCTGTTCGCCGCCATCGTCAAACGTATCGTATTGGTCGGTTGGCGTATAGAATGTAGGGGATTCGTAGAGAGAATCGCTGCTTCGGTGTACGGTGTATTCGGTGTGTCGGTTGGTATTCTCCGTTACTGGAAATGCGAGACTCGAAAAGTGTCGAAGAAAAGAGAATTCCACGACGAAACGCCGTCTGCTCTCGGCGGTATGAAGGCGGTTCCGGATCGTCAAGTACGTATCCCGTTTAGCTGAGAATGCGAAAAAAGGAAAGCAGTCGATCGACGGCGAAATGAAAGTCTCAGAACCACGACTTAGGAAAGTGCACGCCTTCCTGAACCACCACTCTCCATGAAAGCAGGCAAAGGCAGGAACAGGATGGGATGTCCTTTCCTCTTTATTTGTCTACCTATCCGACCTGCTCACGCCAATTCTTACGCCCTGCCCACCCTCCTCCTCACCATCCTGCCGCTGCTACTGCTGCTTTCCCCGGCCACGGCCCTGCCCATCTGTTGAGAAACGCGACCCGAGCTGCGAGATAACCACTTTGCCCACACCCCTTCAAAGCCCGGCGCCGGCGGGCGAACCACTCGGGGGAGTCGGGGGTGGCTAGATATTCGCGATTGAAAACTACCTCAAGCTGCGGGCTCATCCTCAAAGAAAAGGGCCGCGTGCAGGGAATGGCGCGCAAAGGAAAAGAAGAATCCCACCTGAGCTCCAGCAACCCAAACCCAGAATGTCGTAGACCATCACCGTCCGAACATGGGAAGAAGCATCGTTGGCGGTGACGCTTCGTGCCCAGGTCCCTGCAAGCTCTAAAATCGTTGCTGGGCCCCCAACGGGGGATAGAGCTATTGACCGAGAAAGGACCCTGAACAAGATCCACCAACCAACATCTCCGTTGCTCGGATTACGATCTCATAGACTTCTGACCGCGCAGCTTGACCGCTGGAGGCTGGCATAAGCCGAGCTGCAGCTCCATGCTGCGGATACTCAGGTTCCAAGGTGCTACAGTTCCTCAATCGATCATGGTTCATTTAGCCCCTCTTTGCTTGGCTTCTTTCCAAGATGTATCACTTGACTAATATCACGTCGCAAAGTTCCTATTGATAGATATTCAAGGAGAAGTGAGTGAGACTGTTTTAAACCCTGCCATGAGATCAGTCATCCGAGTGCCAGCTGGCGCCGCTTGCGATACCCTGGGGGATGTTAAAGTGCGTGCACGTCCACCACACCGAAGTCTCACCGAGATCTGCGCCTCGGTGAACGGCCCTTTTTCCGCCGACAGTCTCTCACCACCCGCAAAATTCCAGTCTCCATACTGCGAAGCTATCCCGTCCACCCGTGTCCAAGCCTCAAGCTATCCAACGCGTGCGGCGCAAATTCCCCTTCAAGATGGCCAAGAAAGGTATGCAACCCGTCTGAGCCTCATTCAAGCGCACTTTCCGCTTTCCTCCAAATCTCCAAGCTAATTAATCTCGTCCAACAGCGAAGTCTCGTGTCATGATCGTCCGGCTCTTGTCCATGGCCGCGACTGGTTACTTCTACACTGTTAAGCGTCTCCGAACCGCAACACCCATGAGCTTGTTGAAATACGACCCAATCAGTATGTCGACCCCTTTCTCTTCGATTCGACAAACGTAGCGCCGGTCTCCAGGGCGGGCGCCACTCGATACACCCTATGAGATGGAGATAGGAACGACAGGGCTAACGTATTCACAGTTCGGCGAAAGGTGCTTTTCTTGGAGCAGAAGAAGAAGGGGAAATGAGCCAGCGCACTCTCGAATTACCAACACCACATGTAACAACACTTATATCACCATAAACGGCGTTCACGGCGGCATACGATTGGGGCTCGAAGACCACATGGATGAACTGTACATCATCAACCTGCAGTCCCTCAGACATATCGTCAGGGACAAGGCATTGGCACGTCGGACTGTGCCCCAGAGGCGGAACGAAAGCGAAGGCTTCGATGGCCGCGACCTAGTTGTATATTCTACCAAAAGAGAACAAACCTTGCGTAAATGCAATATTCCTCTGCATGATTCCACCACACATAAATCTTTAGTCCACGTCCAAGAAACCCAACCTCGATGGATGATGCTAAAGCTGCAGACTCTCCTTTAACGTGTGCCCTCATTCGGCTTGGAAGTGCTTGGAAAGAAATGGTGGGAAACTTGATCATCATCCACGATTACTGGAACCACCCTATTGCCGTCTCTTTGGTTGCGCTCCGGCGGTTCAGCCCGGAGACAGTCCTCATTGTTGCCTCCCGCGGCCTGTGAAGTCTCCCGGTTGCCTTCATTCTCGGTGAAGCATGGTTTGGACCGTTTCGAGCCTCGAGACCATTGCTGGGCGTTGTTAGATCTTTTGGTTCCGCGCTGCTCCGACAAGCTCGCTGGTCCGTCAAGTCTCTCCCATTCGTTAGGGTTGGTCAAATCGCCGAGCTTTCCCTTGCGGTTGCCCACAAGGCTGTTCTTGACATCCAAGATGGCCTCCTGGCTGGACTTGGGGGCACTTTGCACAGGTCGGTTGTACGAAGAGTGCCCAGCATGGCGCGCGACCATGATACCGTTACTTCCTTTCGATGCTTTCGCAACCGGAGTTTTCTGGGGGCGGAGGATCGATCTTATGTTGGATCCCTGTGCGGCCACCTCCATTCGCTGCGACTTCTCCTGCTCGACCGATGGCGCAGGCATTTCATCTTCCGACTCCTCAACAGGACTGCGAAAAACCGTTCGCTTGCTGGCTCGGATCAGCGGCATGTCAGAGGAGCTCGGCTGAAAGTCGTTGAGGGGATCGTAAACATCTTGCTGCAGCAAAACGGGAAGCATTGGTTCCGGCAGCACAAGACTGTCAGGGATCAGGACATCGTCGTTTCCCGTGGCATTTTGTCTGTCGAGCGTGTTTGCGAAGTCCTTACTGACCGCCGCGTATGCCTTGCCATTTGACCTGAGCTGCTTGACTTCTTCCCTTAGTGTTTGGAGCTGGGCAAGCTGCTCGGCTACCTGATCAAGCTGGCCGTTGTTAGCAGCCGGGGCCTGCGTGTCGCGGAGCTTGAGTGTGAGATTGGTGACTCTTTGATGAGCATTCTCCAACTCCTTTTCTAGTTTCGATGCTCTGATGACACTGTCCAAGGTCTTGAGGCGTTCAACCTCTGTCCCGGCCATTGTCAACTGTTGCTGAGCCTGGTGCAGAGATTCTTCCGAGCTCTCCAGCCGCATTTGGATTTCAGCGTCTTCCCCGGACCTTTTTGCGAGATTCTTCTCCGAGTCTTCGGCTCGCTGGCGTTGCAAATGGCCGTTTTCCTCGGCAATTCGTAACTTCTCCTGAAGCTCTCGGATCTTGGTCTCGTGCCCTTGTCGCTGGAGCTGAAGCTCAGTTTGCGTCTCTGCGACCTGACAATCCTTGCTTAAGAGGCTTTGCTGTAACTCTTGGAGCTTTTCTTCCATGGTTGTTGCCCTCCTTGAGGCTAACTCTGCAGATTCTCTCGCCTCTCGCAGTTTTTGATCAAGTTCGGAGACACGGCTGGTCGTATCCGCGATTTCAGCATCCTTGGCAAGAAGATCCTGTGCGAGTTTGCTGTTCTCGTTCTTTCTCTCCGAAAGTTGTAGCATCAACTGTTCCTGACGATGTTTGCGCTCCGTCTCCATCGATAACGACTGTTTCTGGAACGTCTCCTGTAGACTTTGCAGTTTTTCTTCGATGGACTGACCAGTCATAGTGGGTTTCAACTTCTCCAAAAATCTGGACATACGTCAGTTGAGAAGCCAGAATACATCAGCGGGCACCTACTGTGGCATCATTTCTTTTTGAAAGGTCTCCAGAGCTCGCTGAATCTCATCTTCTACGTTGACTTGAGGGGAACATTGCACGTGGCCCGCAATTTCGTCCAGCCTGCAAAAGTCAGTCACACGCGGATGACACGAGGGCAATTGGAAAGTACCTTCTCATGACCTCGGTTGGCACAGCGGGTGCTTCGAGAGAGCGCGCTTGCATCTTGTCCACCTTCGAGCAGACTCCAGTCACATTCTCATCGATCTGGCGCAGCAGACCCTTCAAGGCATCCGCGTCGAGGAGCTTTCCCTCCAACTTCTTGGCTCTCTGTGCCTCAAAATCGAAATCTTTCCCAAGATTGTCTAGGGCTGACGTCAAGCCTCTGATTTTTGATGCCGCTTTTAATGTCAGTTCAGCGACCTTAATCTTCGAATCGAACCTGCTTACCCGCTGCCACTTCCTGCTGAAGAACTACCTGCTTGTGTTTGGAAATGAGATTCAACTTATCCTGGGCAGCCTGTTTCTCTGCCATGGCCGACTTGAACTTCTCTTCCGCCTCTTCATGCTCCTCTCTCATGCTGGTGATGGTTTTCTGAGCGATATCTTTGGAATGTTGCCAGAGTTGTTGGTGTTCTGCAACAGCCTTGTTGAGGTGGTCCTTGTACGAGCGGCTCTTCTCTTGAAACTTGTCGAGCTTGGAGTGTGTGACCTCCAGCTCTTGGTGCAATTTAACCGCCTCTTTGTCTTGCATTTCTCTCTCGGCTTGCAGATCGGCCAATTCCTGTTCTAGTTCACGCAGTCGTCCGCCTTGTTGAGCTAGATTATGGGAGAGCTCGTCCTTCTGATGTTGTAAAAGAGAGAGCTCCGAGTTCGACTGCACCCGGCGGTCGCAGTCTTTCTGATACCGTGCTTGATACTGCTGTAAGCGAGTCACCAGTTCTTCGATTTGCTGCTTCTGGCCCAGGAGACGACTATTCATATTGTGCTCAACTTCTTTTGAGTAGCTGAGAACTTTGTTGTAGTGAGCCGACATACTTTCGAGTGCTTCATAGTGGCTCTCTGCCGTAACCTGCTGGTTCTCCAAGCCTGGGTTGGCCTTCTCCTGACTCGGTTTGCCGTGTTGTGATTGGCGGTGGGAGCGCTTGCGACGCCGAGAAGTATTTGAAAGACGCGATTTCGTACGTTGCGGAACATCTCTGGCATCTTGTTCGCGACTGATACGTCGAATTGACTGCTCTCTAGGCGAAGAGTGCTGTCGATTCGACTTGCGAGCAGAACCAGGAGTTTGTTTCTGTGGCATTTCCAAGTCGCCAACTGGAGTTGACGACCGAATCTCAACTGCCTCGTGATGCTGTCTTTGAACTCGGGCTATCTGACGAGGCATCGCACGATTATCATCGACGGGTTTGCTAGTTTCGAAGAGGCGTGGTTCCAAGTCTCGATCTGAAACCACACATTGCTGCTGTTCGCCTTCATTTTCTTCCCGAGAGCTGTGCCGCTGTGAAGGAATACCCCTATCAGTAGCCGTTTGTTCAATTGCAGGCTGCAGAGTCTCCCGTTGATCGCAGGGAAGAATGACATCGGCATCAGCAAAGGGTCGAATGCTGCGGTCCTCGATAGCAGAACCATGTATTTTCTGCTCGACCTGGACAGATGGGCGTCTCGAAACTGACTTTCCAGCTGAATCTCTCTCAGAGCTGGTAGTAATCTGATCTGAGAGACCTCGGCCCAGTAGCTGACCGTGGCTACTCGATTGCTCCGGGTTGACTTCCGCAGCCCTCAAGCGTTGAAAAGGAGTCCCTCTTCGTCCTTGATCACTTCGAGAGATGATGGCTGGCATATTGTTCGCATGGGTGTCGACATCGTTGTAGTGGTGACTATTATCGTCTATCAAAGCTGGCTGATCCTGGGGCTGGGCTGGCCGTACATTGCCGGCATTTGCCCAGTCCTCTTGGGGCACTGCATCTTGCCGCCCACTGAGGGCACTGAAGTTGATAGATCGACGCTGCTGGTGGCCAGAGAACTGATTTGGCTTGTACTTGGGCTGTGGTCCGAAGACAAACGTATCAATCTCCCCACCAAGTTTTGGGTCATCTTCAGGATGACCTGAAGGGTGGCTTCCGTGGCCGCGTGCCTGAGATACATGGTATTGTTCGTTCCCATCGTCTTGGATAACGTGCTTGACGTTCGGCTGCGAGGCTTTTAGCTGGCTGAGCAACAACGGTTGAGACTCCGCACTGGAGGGGGAGTCTTCGGCCTGGGAACCGTCCTCGGGATAGTGGTCTGGGCTGGATCCTTTCGAACGGGCCTTAGAACTGAGCCTAACGTGTCGGGTGCCACCATTTGCTGAAAGAGGGTCGGGACTGGATTTGTCGGCCATGGTATGGAAGAGGCCAGAGGCCGTAGTAGCTACTACAACCACAAGCTGTGGTCAATTTCTAGAGTCTCTGTTCCAAGGCAGCAAAATTCAGCAGAGAGCCAATCTGAACGAGGAAAGGTGACAACAACTAGGAGGATTAGGAGAGACAAGAAACGAAGCCAACAGCTCTGTCAGATTCAGCAGGCTGCGAGAATTGAAGTTGAGGACGAAACGATCAATACACCACAACCTAGTGAGATGGATCTCCAGTACGGGGAGGTATCTCGAAGGTTGCCTGCCGCGCCACAACTGCTGATGGGTTTTTGGTAACCGCAAGGCATAGAATGTAATCGTTGCTTTCTGAGATACAGAAAGAGCTTTCGTCACTTGAGATCAGGAAAGTAATGGCTAAAAGAATGTGGCAACAGCCGCCCTCTATCACTGAGTGGAAAGAACGACGTTTCTAGAGCAATTGATCAAGGGAACTGCCTTAGCTACTTGCATTCGACCGCCTCTGCCTTCCAGATGCGTGTGTCTTTCCTTCCATTGACGGACCATGCTGTCAAGACGATCAACCAAACCGGCATTTGATGGAGAATAATTCACCGTTCACTTATGATAAAAGTTTCCCATATACTACGTACGCCGGCCAACAAGATTTGAAGGCATGGAGCGGTGGTCGGTGTAAGTGAGAAACATGATAAATTGCCTGGGAAATTTGCTGAATTAATGACTGGATGGTGTTAGACGGCAGTAGCCATACTCACCACTCGACCTTGCTTTAGTCATCCAGCTCAGGACGGTAGTAAGTGGGTAGTGGGAAACACCATTCCATCAGTAACCTGTAATCTGTATTGAGGTAACATCAACCCGATATCCAGAAGAAGTAGAAGAACGTATCCCAGCGAGGACCCTCCTTTGGCAGTTGCCGGTTTCAGGGTACTTTCCTGTCATCTCTCCGCGTCAGCAATGACAGTTTCCGGGAAGGTCTTTGGCCGCGGCTTCTCTATGCGTTCCATGGCCACCGGAAGAGGAGACCGCTTGATCTTCGGCCGTGCAGGTACAACCTTCCTCTGATTCGACGTGCTGACTGGTCACGATAGCTCCGGCAGCAACCCCCCCGCGATGACAAGCTGAGAAAGATGCGTAAAGTCGTCCGAGAAACCAGCCTGGAGGCCAAGACGGTCGCCCCCAAATTTAGAACGTCCCAAGGAAAAGCCAAGCAATGCCAAAATAAACCCCACCGGGGAAACGACGTGAATAATAAGCGGGAAGGACAGCAGGCGGCAAGTGAGACCTCCAAGGCATCATCGTCGGAACAGAGGTGGCCCGCGCTTGATCGAGGAAAGATCAAGATCTGCTTGTACCACTCGGCTTTCCCGCTTTTGGTCATACAACGGATATGTTCTGCTTCTCTTGTCAGCGGGAGGAAAGAAGTGACAGTGACGAGTCGTGCAGATGGCATGACAGATAGAGCACGAAACCATAGGAAAGCATATCTTTCAAGATGCAGGCCCTTCGAATCAGCTCCAGATGCGCGCCATCACACCGCAGGATCGCCATGTCAACGGGGAATGCGAGAACCCCTCCCCCATCACACAATTAAGCTCGTCGATATTACATCCACTGCCGGCGACAGTCAACCTCTCAAAGATCATTCTGGAGTGATTGACTCGGCCGCGCACACACGCAATGCAAATAGGAAATGCAGCTCAAAAGATACACTAACACAATACCTTAGGTAGGATTGTGACGGGACGCAGTTCAACCCCTGCACCTCACCAAATTCGTCCGAGCCGCCCATCCCAGGCTCCCCCCGCTGATTGGCCAACCACATCCCGGCCCCGATGTGAAAGCGCCGTGTGCCGGCGCTTCGAGGTCGCTCAACACCAATGGGAACGTCGCGAGCCTATTTCGACCGTCCCCTGGGCTCAAACGAGGTCGTCTTCTCTTTTCAAAGTCTTGGGAGTCCCCACGGTCTTGAACAAGGTGCTTCGATACGGTTCCTGCGCCCCGGACGTGGGTCTTTGGACCACACGCACACCCTGGCCGACGTGCTGTCGTGCGTGCTCGCAAGTGCCGTGTGTGAAATGCTATGTATGCACTTGCACGGGGGTGTTGTGAGGGCCCTTCGCTTCGTCAGTCACATCACTCTCAGTGGTTGCTTCCTCTGTATGGCTGCTTGTAGACGGGGTGAAAAGGGGAGGGGGATGGAGTAGACGATTGGCGCTGGGCTCCCCCATGTGAGAAAATAATGCTCTGGGCGCTTGAACAATGTAAATAGTGAGTTGGGCCACAATCGTGGCGCCGGGTATCCTTTCGATTTTTGTTCAGCTTCTTTATTCTACCTTACTCATACGATTCTGACGCCGTTTTCTCTCTCTCTCTCTCGTTCGGTTGTCTTCCCACCTTGCTTGGCTGTGCCTCTCTAAGAACTTTTCCAACATCCTTCCAAATCACCGTCTTCACCGTTGCCCCTCTGCGAGTGGCACCTCGACCTACAACCAAGATGGCGACCACAACCTCCAACTTCTTTCCTCTGGCGACCGAAACCTACTATCCAGACTCTCCTGGAGACGCCAGCTCATCTGGAAATGGTGTCGATACCGAGGCAGGAGCCTCTGGTGACAGCCCTGGAGCTGTCAACCTATCCCGTGAAGCCATGATTGCCATCATCGTCGTCGTCTCTGTTGTTGGCGCCCTCGGAAGTACGTAACAATCCATGCAAGAAAAACCAAAACACCAACTCCTTTGAAACCCCATTCGCTAACCAGGCCCTTACTCGTACAGTTGGCATGGCCGTTCTCTTCTACGTTGCCAAGAAGCGAGAGTGGAAGATCAGAGAGACCATGCGCAAGTCCGCCAGAAAGGTCGTGACCGCTCTCACGCCGCGAAGGACCGAGTTCCCCAGATCAGTCAAGGAGTCTTCGTCTCCGCCACGCAGCCATCGCGGGCGCGCGAGGCTCGACGACGTTCCGCCCACGCCCAGACTCCGCCCGGAAGATCTCGAAAAGGGCCTCAAGGAGGCAGAGTCGAAGCGCAAGTTGATGAGGTGGGGCCGGAAGTAGGCGAATGCGAGAGGAAACTCAGGACATGGGAGGAATGACGGCCGCCAACTGGCTTGGTGCTGGTGTAATGGTTCATTTGCTGAGGCGGTCGAGACCGGATGACTGACGAACTTGGATCTGCGTAGCGTATAGAGTCCTTTTTCTTGTACCATTATTATGCCCTTTGAAATTACATAGCGCTTGTCCTTAAAGTCTTCGGAATGTGTTTGAGCTGGCGCTTCTTCTTGCGTTGTTCTTGTGGTCGCGCGGCCGGGAATCGTCGTGCGTGTCCACAGGGCCTCCGTTCTTCTTCTTCCCTTGAGGAACGAATGTGACCGCCTTTTCGCCGTAGGCATTTCCACGATGCGTCTTGCTGATGCGGCCGGACTTTTGCACCCTGGCGCCCAAAGCGGTGTCGCGCTCCTGGCCCTTTTGGTTGGAAGACGAGATCTTCATCTGGTACTCCTGTGTAGCTTTCTTACCCAGACCCTTGGGGCCCTGATCCACAACAGGCTGGGCAGCAGCACTGACACCAACCTCGTGAGTATCCTTTGCGGCGACCTTGGTGCTGGGGTTGAGGGCACGGAACTCGTAGGTGGACTCGTCGACGGCGAAGGCGTCGTCCTCGAACATCTTGGCGAAACGATCGTCGCCGAGCAGGCCGGCCTTTTCGTTGACAACCTCTCTGTTCTCCTGTTTCTTGAGAAGCTTGTCGGCAAGCTTCTGGTTGACCTTGACCTTCTTGTTGCCTCTGATTCTGCTGGCGCGCTCCTTTTCGACCTTCTCCTTGATGCGCTTCGTCCTCTCCTCCTCCCAAACGTACGGGTTGGCGATGAGGCGGGCCTGTTCGTAGAGTTTCGACGCAACGAAGTAACCGTGCATGTACGGACGGAGCAGGTTTGTCTTGCCAATAAGGTGCTCCATGCTCAATTGTCTGAGCTCGGGCAGCGTCAAGAACTTGTAGTTGTCGTATGTCTCGGTGCGGACCTCCTCTGCCATCTCTTCGACCATGTTGTCGAGGAAAGAGCACCATCGTGGTGCCGGGCCGAGACTGGGAATGAAGAAGGAGTGTTGAGACTTGCCTTCGTTGGCAGTCAGAAGCATACCGGTGTCCTTGCACCAAGCGCTGGTTTCTGATTAGTGAGAATTCAAAAGGAAACAGATTAGTTTCGTTACTCACACATCGTTCAGGTCCACAATGGGCTCGACTGAAGTCCATGGTGTACCGTCCGTCTCGTCCCAAATCTTGATAATCTTCTTATCGGCAGACATAATCTTCTTTTCTTGGGAAGCTGTTGTCATGTGAATGAGCTTCTTGATCGGGAAGCCGTATCCTTGGTCCTTGGTCAAGAGAGGAACTGGGCGACGGAGATCGAACAGCTGAACCATGCCCGTCTCGGAACCAGTGGCAATGGATAGTCCCGATGTGCTGAAGTCCAAGGCAGTGATGCCACCATCTTGGCAGCCTAGACGCGCGACTCTTGACTTGGATCTCGGGTCCCAGAATTCCACCGTGCCAATAGAGGTTCCGAAAGCTGCAAGGCCATGGGAGCCTTCGGCCAACGCCGCAGCGTTGACACTTCCGGCATCAATACTTCCCTGGAGCCCAGCTCCCTCCTCATCACCGCCGACATCGATCTGGAAAGACTTCATGAACCTGCCAATCTCCAGGTTCAAGCGGAAGACTTCACCCATGCGATCCTGGTCGACTCCTACGGCGGGTACGAGTGCTTCGGTCGACTGCCGATCGTAGAGCAAGTCTCTGCCGTAACGGGGTATGCGGATCTTGTAATGGCAGCCCATCGGGGTGTGAAACTCGAGTTGTCGGTCATCCTGGAGGAGTAGAGTTTTGGAGTAGTCGGAGGAGAGGATCGTCAACTTCTCTGTAAGAGAATTTGTGTGGCGCGCAAACGACAGAGACAGTTGTGGGAGGTTGTGAACGTGAATCTGAGGCTTGTATGTTCCTGCACTGACAGCCCAATCACCATCTTCACTGACGCGAATGCAGGTGCTGGCTTCCTCGAACTCGAAATCTTGGAGAAGCTCGACTCGGCTCTGGTACTCCGCGTCGTTCTTGAGCGATCGCTTTCTCCGTCTGGCCAGCCAATCCGGCAGAGGTCTGGCGGTCGATGCACCGGAAACGGTGTAGACCGGAACTGTTCCTGGGTTCGTCAACTTCATCGTGTTTGTCGGAGACCGCTGGTGAAAATTGTACGGGCGGGTGCTTCGCGACAATGCGACTAGGTGTGAAGGAATTGCGGCCGAGGGGACTTTTTTTTTTCTTGCCCAAAAAGTTCCGATTAGATAAGAGTCCCCGGCAGGCTGGTGGGGGGCCCTCACCTTGGCTGGAGCAAGAGAGGCCTCGGTGAGGCGGTGGAGGATTAGCTAACTCCTTTCCGACTTCCAGACTGCCCCACTACTTTGCGTTAGCTGCCCAGGGACTTTGGCTGTTTTCATTGGCCGAAGCATCACCCGCTGATTCCCAGCAGGACCCTATTAGTGCATTCAGCCGCGTGAATCTGGGCTGTCTGCGTGTCAACGACAGTGCTGGATTTCCGGCGGTTTACCGACCTAACCAGGCTTGCACATCGACAAAGTGAATCAAAGCGATACATCAGCTCTTCGACGACGAATCCAACAAATTCCAAACACAAACGACATCCGAGTGTCTATTATCACACAATCAGTTGACAAGATAGTTCGTTTCGAATACGCTTGATAATCCCGTAACGGTGTTGGACTCGGTTGATGCCGAGAAGCCGGTCCATTGGTCGCGCTTTCGACCTACGGAGATGGAGTCGATGACTTCGCGAATTCAACCAAACAACCGTATCAAAACCTCTCACAGTCGCATAACGAATTCCAACCGATGCCGTAACGAATCATTACTTTTATGACTGCCGGCCTACAGCTTTGAACCGGCTCCTGCGGCCCCTGGGAGCTTTAGCGACCGAGAGTTGATGTTGCGACACGGAACACATCCCGCCGTCGCGAGACTCGACCGCCGACATGGACACGAGCGAATACGATACTAATACTCTATTAAATGTTTGTACTGGACGTTGAAACATGTGGGTCGCAATCACTACTAACAGCTTGCTGCCAGAATAACATATCTACCATCAATTACCGAGTCTACGAGCCCTCTCCTGACCAGGCGTCAAGCTTTCCCTCAATCGCCGCCGATGTCGAGACCGAACTGAGAACCCTCAACCACATTGTATACTACGATGCGAACAGACGGGTTGTGTGGTATTTCCACATTCCGGGCAAGGATGTGGAGTCTGGCGACGATACCCCGAGGGTTTTGGACAGTAGTGTCAGCGTCGCCGGCGCAACATTGCTGATGGTTGACGAAGGTTCCTTTGAACCAATAAGTTTGTTCAAGGGTCGCGCTCAAGGACAGCAAGCCTCGAATACACCAACCAGCTCGTCGTCAAGTAATTCGGCCCTCGACCTTTCATTACGGAATCCGCAGATGGGCAACTCCGGACCGCCAAGCTCCTCCGATCCCGATTCCAAACCCCCGTCAGCCGGCGCACTCGATGCCAAGGGCACTGGCTCTGTTCCCATAAAGGAGGCATACGAGCAATTTATCACGGCCGTTCTGTCAACAACGTCAGCATCATTTTGCAACCGCGTATCAGCAATCCCCCTGAATCATCGAACCGTTTTGCTTCCTTCCAAGGTTACACGAGACGGTCAGACCGAGAGAGCTCAGGACGCGGAGTCTGCAGTCGTGGGAACATTCCGCGTATACCTTACCACGACGGGCGCACTAGTCATAAGTTTATCTTTATCCTGTTGCGAGGGTCTCTTGTCTGTGAATGAACCATCAAGTCCGAGCCAACTTGCACTAGGCTCTCAGATATTGGCTGCCCCTTTCGGCGTTCTAGCGAATTACCAAGGGTTCGTCGGCGGAGGCCTGGCGTACCCCGAACTTGGCCTGGGACAGACGCCGGATGCCCAGCTTTGGAGGAATGCGGACGCTAGATCCTCACAATGGAGAGAAACCTGCATCAAAATCCTTCAGTCCCGTGGGCTGTCTCCTGCGTTACTACAGTCATGTCCATGGATCGCATTGCAAATGCTCCGCCGGAAACCTGGCGAGTCTAAAGCGGAAGGGAAAACGACGCCATTATTGTCCGCTGTGGCTACGGTATCTTGGCCAGCAGTCCTCTGTTTCCGGAAGAAGTCTGTCATGCTCGCGCGAAGTAACGGCCTGGGAGATTCTGTACTTTTGGCGCAAGATGAGACATCTGACTTCCTTAACGAGGCCAGAACCTGGTTTCAGCTGGGCGTAGACAGGGACGAAAAAGTCACCAAGAGGAAGAAAGAGAGGGAAGCTGCGGCATCAAAGGAGGCTTCGGCAGCAGCTTCGTCACACCAACCAAACGGGCATTCACCACTGGGGCTAAGACGAGCTAGCAATGCGGCAGCCGCAGGTGCCATGTATCCAACGCCACCAGACGGAGTTCAGAATCCCCTAGGCATCACGCCTTCGATGGATGGGACGACCTCTAGCCCAGGTGCCCCTGGAGTCACCATGGCAGTTGTTGACATAGATACTGCTATGACAGATGCTACAGTACACGACGCGACCACGATGCATGGCACGCTACAACATGATTCCTACGCTGACGGTTGGCACTCGAACGAGCATGCAAACGAACATACGAATGAGCATTCCAACGGAAATGGCAAAGGTCGGGCGGACTCCTTTACTGGGGGAGACAACGATGACAATTTGTTTGGCGACATGGGCCCGGACATGTTTGGGGATACCGACATTACTGATGCCGACTTCAACTTCTTCGACGAAGAAGGCGATGACCTCGACCTATCTGGCTTACCTGACTTAGGCATGCCTGACGGACCACCGATGCCTGCTGTCCTCCCAGTACCTATGCCTGAGCCGGCAAAACTGATGCTGCCTCCGGTAGAGGATACTAAGCCCGAACCAAGTCCTCCAATTTTCACCAAGCCGGAGTTGAAGCATGCGCGGAGCACATTGATGGACGAAGGAAAACAGCGATCTAACACGGACAGGACAGGCGGTATGAAGAGAGAATCAAGTCCTTTCGATCCGGACATTGTCTACAAAAGAGTTCGGGCTTCTCTAGCAGATATCCGCTCCACCCCTCAATCAACCCCTGCGCGGAAAGGCAGCATATTCGACAGCGTGGACTTTGATCCGGTTTTGCCTCTTGTTAACAAGAAGTACGAGCAAGGGGGTCGATTTGATTGGAAGCCGACGCTTCAAGGCCTGCCTCAAGAATCCAACAACCAGCCTCTTCATCAAGGGCCGCCTACTACTGACTACTTACGACGACACGGCAAGGGCCGGAAGCCACTGAAACAACCAGAACACACAAATGCCCTGATCCGAACTATCACAGGCAACCTCGAGAACAGTTCCCTGATTGCAAGTCCCGGGAAAGGTGATGACCTAGCATCCGATGCCGATGACATCAGCCTAGTATCAGATCAAGACGACTCGAGCACGTCAGAAGACGAACCGACGTCGCCCTTTAAGTCGAGCATTCGAAGACTGAACTTGGATGACGACGTTGCGTCTCACGTCACTTCCCTCAGAGACATTGAGTCTGTCGAGGATTCCGACCCTACGTTAGCTTTGGACCTTCCAAAGCTGGCCAAGGCTGAAGCCTCAGAAATGCTGATTACGAAGTACTTTGAAGATGCAGAGTCACTGCCTATTCATCTTTCACTCCCAGATGAAGACACCATCACCATCGCTCAAATTGTCACTGAGCAAGCGGTCACTGGCAACTTGAGAATACGCGATGCGCATGCGAACACGCTGAACTCGGCAATCATACCGGAGACCCGGCGCCAATTATCCTCCCTAGGCCGGACTGCTTTGCAAGCTTTGCGCGAGGTGATTCCCTCTTGTCTAGGGGACTTCAACACATGCAACTTCAAAGGTGTGGTCGAGATCCCCGACGTTCCCCTGCTTGGCCCACCAAACAGACTTCATCCGAGGCCGGTCAATCCGCGGGATAACAACACAGAACCGCCAAAGCCGAACAACCTCTTCCAAATCCCAGCTCCTCACATGGAACTTCGACGTGCAGAAGCCAGACTTTCAGTCTTGCCAGCGAGCGTTCAGTTTTGGGAAAGCTTGGGGCTGGGTCCTGCTCAAGGCACAAAGGACGTCAATGTTGTTTGTGTCTTCCCCCATTGGGATGGAATGTCAGACGTTGCCGCTGCCTTCCTGGACCGCATGCGAAACGTTTACGAGCTTCTCAAGCTGGGCTCTTTCGAACGCCTTGCGACCAGTTCCAAGGTGGCTGATGGCCTTCTACCCTATGAAGTAGACAAAATCGCCACTTCACCAGGAACCGTCAGTCCTCACATTGTCGCCGGCCTGGGTGACCGCATGGAGGCACTCAATCAGGGGCTCATTTCGGCCAATGCTTCGGAAAAGAACTATGTAATATACTTTGTCTATCCTCCAGATCATCCTGGGTCTATTGTGGAGGCTTGCACTGCTTTCCAACAGCTCTTTGAGATGCACAAAAGGACTCTGACGGACAGGCGGCAGACCCCGGTCAACGAATTGGTCTTGCAACTTGTGCCCCTGGACTTTCTCACTTCTTCTACGGGAATAGTAGAACCGACGCCTAGCGATGCGATCAAATTGGCGATAGAAACGTATGACCGCTGTACGCTATTTGGCGGACCGATGCCATCGCCGGCCATTATGCTCGAACAGTCGCTACCTAGAGGCATCGACTTCAAGCTTTCGAATCCATCTTCGTCGTCGTTAATGCATGAGAACACTTGCATTCACATCGCTTACGCCCAGAGCATCGACGAGAGATGGATTACCGCGGCATGGACTGACAACAGGGGATGCCAGCAGATGACGGCATCTTACAACCTTGGTCGCAAGGGCAAGGCGCTATCTACATCGCTCAATGACGTCTACCACGAGATATGGGAAACCACCCATGACTTGATTTCCAAGTGGAAAGTCCACTGGCGAGTTATCATCTCCAAGTGCGGCTTCATGGATGCGCAAGAGATTGGGTTCTGGCAGGGTCTGGCTCAGACGGAGTCGGTAGCAACGGTCAGCTTGACCTTGATTTCGGTCGATACGAATCCATCCATGCAGTTGGTTCCGCCGGCAATAAAGGTCCCGGCAACAACATCCTCGGCTTTCTATACGACGCCCGTGTCTACTCCACAGGCATCGATAGTCTCGCCAGAGCAGAGTGGTACGCCGGCCACGCCCATGAAAGAAAACACAACAAGCGCCGCGACTCCGGGCGGAACACCAGGCGACGGTAATGCCGACCCTGTCGAAGGGGACGCCATTCTCCTCGACGTTACAGACCAAACCTGGGGTGCCGTGCTAGCGCATCGACTGAGCAACTCTTCTTCGTTGGGCGAGCTGAACCCGGCCCTTATTAGCGGTTATCTTGTCAAACGTGGAGGCACGAAGCTCGAAGATCCGCCTGTTGTCCTAGAGGTCAACATTGTACATGCGGATAACAATCCGCGCATGTACGAGCCTCTCATGCGGGAGATGCTTACCTACTTCAGGGGTCTTGGAACCCTAGCTCGCGCGAGGGGAGTTGTAGATAGGGGGACGGATATACGTCCCTGGCACATCGCGGCGGCGGAGAAGGGTGTTCGGGCATTATACCTTTTGATGTGATTTGGTACATGGCGAGGTGGTTTGTTGGGTAGACGTTTTTCCTTTAGGTTTGAGGAGGTTTAGAACCGGCGTTTCGAGGCGTTGGACCATGCGATAGGAACAATCGTAGCACAGAGGAGATTGCATGAGACCAAAATCATTGACTACAGTGTTAACATCATTGGTATCGTACTTTTCATTTTGCACAGGGTCTCTATCCTGGTGACTACTTTCGCTACCGCCCTGAACAGTTGATGCTCAGGCTCAAGTCTATCTATCCACGCCATTTTCACCATTGCTTCTATATACGCTTTCGCTCATATTTCACGTATACCAACCCTTGGTCGTGTGCCTCATACCGAGAAACAGACCGTAAATAACTATAAAAAATGTAAAAAAGGTTCTGTGAATTGACATCTAGTTCCAGAACCCAGGGAACAAGAACTCGACATTCTTCATGGCCTCGGGGCTGCGGCCCTCGGGCTTGGTCATGAACTTGACGGCGCCCTGGGAGGCGCCCTCCCACTGCTTGGCGAGGACGAGGTCGCCGCTCTCCTGCTTGGACAGCTCGTCGAGGACGCCGCCGACGAGGCGCTTGGCGTTCTCGCTGTTGGCGGCCATGTACTTCATGACCATGGCGACGTCGACGTCTTCGAACGAGTGCCAGCAGTCGTAGTCGGTCGCCATGCAGATCATCTGGTAGGCCATCTCGGCCTCGCGGGCGAGCTTGGCCTCGGGGAGGGCCGACATGTTGATGACGCTGCCGCCCCAGGAGCGGTACATGTGCGACTCGGCGCGGGTGGAGAATTGGGGGCCCTCTGTTGTTTTCGTCACGTTAGCACTGTTGTTCCTTGGTTTTCCTAAGCTTCTTGTTGGGAGAGGAAGAAACTCACCCATGCAGATAATGGTGCCCTTCTCGTGCAAGACGACGCCCTCGCCCTGCATATGCGCCGCGCACTTCTTGACGACCTCGGCAAGCCCCTTGTCAAACGGATCCGCGAACCCGACGTGGCCCACAACACCGCCCTCGAAAAAGGTGAATGGGCGCACGCCCTTGGTGCGGTCAATGACCTGGTCCGGAACGACAAAGTCCATGGGCTTGATCTCCTCGCGCAGGGAGCCGACGGCGGAGAAGGCGATGACGCAGCGGACGCCGATGGAGCGCAGGGCGGCGATGTTTGCGCGGGCGGGCACCTCGTGGGGCGCGAACTGGTGGTGCAGGCCGTGGCGGGCGAGGAAGGCGATGGGGACGCCGTTGTGCTCGAGGATGCTGATCGGGGACGAGGGCTTGCCCCAGGGGGTCGTGGGCGTCAGCTGGGCGACGGGGGTGTAGCCTTCGAGCTTTCCGAGGCCGGTGCCGCCGATGACGGCGATGTGGACGGGGCCTGTTGGGGAGTAGGATGTCAGTCATTCATGTCTGCGCTTGTGGTATGGGGGGCATTGGGCTGGATCGGGAGGAGGTGAAGCGTGGATGCAAGCTTACGGTCAAAGGTGGTAGGGAGGTCGGCCATTGTATTGTTTTCTATCGATTGATCGTAGGAAAATGGAGGGTATCTTAGGTAAAGCAGGGGAAAGAAATAACAAAGCTGGAGAAGAGAGAGGATTGAAAAGTGTAGATCGGCGCGGAAGCTTGGGTAGGTTTGCTATGCGGTCGGAGTCTGACATCTTTTTTCGACCCCGCCGAAATTTACCCCGCCATCCACCGCACTCGAGTGCTGCCGTTTCTTCAGTGCCCCGCCATTGCGTCGTCCCGGGCATCCCGCTGTGTAGACACCCCACCACATGTTCTCGCCGTCCTCAGCACGTGTCGCAGATCACGGCGAGATGTCGTTCCTTTCCGAGTACACTCAGAGCACGATCTTGTTACCAGATTTCTCATAGGAGATTGACTGCGTTATCCCGTCATGGTCACCAAGGGACGAGATTGGAAAAACGCCCCTTGATAACTTGAGAGGTGGAAAAAATGCAAATACAACGGACCAACGATGATTCGAATGATTGGGACCTTGATATAACCCAGAGGCTTATGGTCTATTCAAGGAATCAAGACTCCAGGAGCGATGAGGCAGGAAAATTTTCAGGGGCCGCTCTCTCTTTCAAATGCTCTTTTTTCATCTGAGGTATCTAGCTGTCTCTCTCTAGACTTTCTTTTTGCTGGTCTTCATCCGAACTCCGACCCATTCCGTAGTAGCACGTACAGATTAAAAACGCTTTCTTATGCAAGAAACAAAACAATCACTGGCCCTCGGCCGGGCGCACCGGCAGCTCCGTCTCCTTGGCGGCGCCGTCTTGCGCGGCGGGGCCCTTACCGCCGCCGGGGTAGCGGGAGCCCTTGTCCTTGGGCTGCTTCTTCTTCTTCTTCTTGTCGTCCTCAACCGGGGGGTAGGCCCTCTCCGTGACCTGCTTCCACTCCTCTGATGCCTGGAAAGCTTGCTGGATGGGTGCCAGGAGCTCGTTCAGGGCCTTGGTCACGGCGGGCTTGAGCAGCTGGGGCGTCAACTAAACATAGTGTTAGCATGTCCTAGATATCGCGTCTCTTTCCGTGTGCTACTTACGACGTCGTTCTTGTAGTCCTCGTGCATTTGCTTAATATCGGTGTAAACCAGGGTCTCGAGGCCGTCGCGCTCACGCTCGACACGGAACTCCTTCTTGCCCTTCAGCGACGCAGCGGGCAGCAGGACGTACTCGACGAAAGACAGGACACCGTTGCCCTCAGCAACCTTGGGCACACACTCGGCCTTGCGGAGCTTCTTCTGGACAACCTCGGGGGCGTCGAGAAGGTCGATCTTGCTGTCTGTGACGCCATGTTCAGCATTTATTTCCGAAAAGCAGTGACAATAATCTTACCAGGATCACTTGCGCTCATCTTTCCACCGTTCAGACCCGGCACCATGGGGTTCAACAGATGCGCGCGCACTTGGTATCCGACCTTGGGCAACCACTCGGTGGCCGCAGCGAACAGCTTTCTTTGATCCATGCCTGCAAAATGTCAGCCTGAGCACCCCCTCGAGATACGCGAATCAGGACATACCTCCGAATTGAGCATCAACACCAAGGTGCTGCTCGTCGCAGACCTGAAGTACGGGGTACAGCAGACCACTCATGGGGGCGTTCTGTCACCATTGTCAGCCCGAGTCCAAGCACCAAGGCTTTTTAGGTATCCTCACGTCAGACTGCTTCACGACCTCAGCACCAGCCTTCTTCGCATCTCTCTCGCTAATGAGCGAGCTCATCTTGTAGACATCCATGATGTACTCGGGGCTCTTCTGGTAGGAGCTGCCGAGGACGAACTTGAGCTTCTCCGTGGAGACGCCGACAGCGTTGAGGATGTTTGTGATGGCGAACTTGTAGAACTTGGCGCGCTGCTCGACGAGCTCGATGGGGGCCTTGAGGTTGTCGAGGAAACCGTGGATGTCGGCGAGGAGGACGGTCATCTCGCAGCCGGCGGCGAGGAACTGCGCCAGCTTGATGGCCGGGACAAAGTAGCCGCAGTGAGGTCTGCCCGTTGTCGCGGTTCCTGTAGGGTTAAAGGAGGCAATGATCAGCCAATGCGCCGACGAAGAGTATCAGCAGTGTAATTGAGATGTTTGTTACCCCAGTAGATCTTGGGGTTGCGTCCCTCGGCCAGAATCTTCTCGATGATCTCGGGGTTCATGACCTCGGCCAAGTTCTCCTGGATGAGGGCGAACCTCTCCTGCGCCGTTGTGCCTTCCGCCATTTTGGATAGGGTACGAGTCTTGTAAAGATTGTGATCGAACTAAGAATGTAGTCGTATTGGGGAAAGCGAGGTTGTGAAGGTTTCGCGGCGTCGGGGGTAGGTGTCGAGAGGTCGTGGGACGATGGTATTCGGAGTGAGTCAAGCTGTGACTTGTCGCACAAGTGGCCCAAATTCGCGTCGAAGAGCAGACACCGCAGCGAAATTACCCCGCCGAGGGGCGGACGTCGGGGGCCAAAGGTGCACACGGCCGATAGAGGGGTCTACGAGGTCTGTCACCCTTGCCATTGGCCAACTTAGGGGGTTCAATGGAGGGGTCTTGGGTACCGACCTTGCATCAGCCCGGAATTTCACAGGGCTCTCAGCCCAGAACAGCAGTTGTATCCCGACTCTTACTACGGGAAGGCCGAGACATGATGCGTAAATCCCTGATGCCGAATCGAGGGCGAATTTATTACAGTCTTTCGGTAGAATGCGATCTGTGAAGGACGATTACAGGAGTTCTAGAGTGAATCCTCCACACATATAATTAAAGGTCACTGAAAGATCACAAGAGCACTCATACTTGCTGTTGGAACCTCAAAATGGCAATTGGTCTGTGTGTATCTGCTTACCAATTTGTAGTGCAGAGATACTTACTTTTCGGTGCGGACGGCGGAAATTTTCCACAGTGACAGTCCAGCATCCCGGGGCCGCCACCTTGGAGGTACTCCATCTCCAAAAACTTCATGAGAATATTCTTAAACTGTGCATGTATTTTCAGTAATCTTCGCCCACGGCCTGTTTTCCCACTCATTACTAGCGAATACCCCCTCGGCAGGCTAAACGCCTCTCCGGCCGGTCTTTACCTCTATGCTTCTAGTTTGAAATACCCCAATCTCCAACGTCACAAGTGCTCTTCATTGCTCATCGACCTACAACACCATGGCGGCCACACCGCCGCCGTCCCTGCCGGACCTCGACCTCGAGGATGGCACCCCGGGCTATGAGACTATCGAGGAGCGTTGCTTTTCGGCCGCCCTCATCTGTCTTGAGGGCCACTACACCATCCCGCCCATGGGGCCTCAGACTGCCGCACGGGTCTCATCAATGATTGCCAAAACCCTCGAGAAGACTCATACCTTCAAGCACGTCAGGTAGGTGCCCTCAACGCCATGTCTTACTGTAGTTTCGTACCTCTCATTTTCCTAACAAGAACCAGGGAAACGCTGTCAAGAAACGTCGAGATATGGATCTGGTTGACCAAGATCTTTGGCGCCGCCATCCCCAGTCTCACCACACGCTCAGTTGGCCCGCTGTCGAGCCTCAACGATCCGGAGAAGGGTGTCACCCCTCAGGAGAGCACTGCTCTCATTGTGAAGAACCACCACAGTCTCAAGGACGACCTCTCCATCTTGAACAAGCTCATGCACATTGCGAGAAACCTGCTGGTCACATCAGAACCAGAGGTGCCCCAGGACATTTGTGCCGCGGTTCACTTTGACCAGATGGTTTATCAGACCATCATCCTCTGTGTGAACGTCACGAGCAAGGGCTACGATGGCGAGATCTTGGACGAGTCTTCAAGGGCCAAGCTGAATGAGATCACCGACATGTGTAAGTGCCCCCCATGGCCTCTCAGGTAAGAATTGCCGCTCACGTTTCACAGACAAGAAGCTCCTAGTCACATCCCTTCAACAAGCCCACAACTGGACTGCCAAAAACGACCGCAACAAGATGTCGTTCTGGTACGACGTACTCTTCGACGAGGACGCGCAGCTCGATGATCCGCAAGAGGGCATGGGCGACGGCTCCGGCTTCCGCGTCGACATTGCCAAGACGGAGATCCAGCACTGGCTGGAGCGCAACTCGCGCATGTGCGAGACGGCCCGCAGACTCCTCACAGACTACTCCCAGAACAAGTCGCACAACCCCCCTGGGGTCCTCGCGCCCATCGCGCCGCTGGCGTGGAACTGGTTCCCCGAGGGCCAGGTCAAGGTCCGCGCCGACAACTACGAGGAGGGCGAAAAGGTCAACCCGCGGTGGGACCCCGACATCGAGGACAAGTTCGAGCAGGACCGCGCCTACTACCGCGTATCCCGCGAGATCGACACCTGGTGGATGCGCGCGCGCGACGTAAACTACGACGGCTGGGCGGTCGCCATGCCCAACGTCGAGTTCGCCAAGACGAGGACGGAGCACTGCAAGAGCAACCTCCTCAACCGCTACACGCCCGTCATGCGCACCGAGGAGCACGAGGTCGTCGAGGTCGACGAGTCCGAACAGGACCTCGGGCCGGAGGATGGCTCCGCGGAGGAGTACGCCGAGGGCTACGACGACATGATGGACGACGAGGACATTGACGACGACGAGTCGTACGGCGAGGGCCCCCTCACGGGCCTCCTGACCGAGATCCCCAACATCCTCGACCCGAAGCAGATTGAGGCCCTCCACATGATAGTCAAGTCCTGCATCCTCGACTCGGCGGGAACGGGCCTCACCCGCGCGGGCGAGAACCTCCAAAAGACGCGCTGCCGCATGTTCCTCGCCCTCGACTGCGGCAAGTCCCTCCTCCGCGAAATGCTCGTCTTCATCGCCGTCTGGGAAAAGGACGAGCAGTCCCTCATCTTCCAAATCACCTCGCAGCTCATCGAGGCCCTCCACCACTCGGCCCTCGTCCCCTACGCCTGGAACTCGCTCCGCATACCAAAGGACATCATCTCCCCCGCCCAGACCGTCCTCCTCCGCCTCGTCAACCACATCTTCCGCAGCCGCATCAGCAACCCGCCGCAGGACAAAAAGGACCAGGAGCGCGACGTCAAGCTCGTCATGTTCTTCTTCAGCTTCTTCCGCAGCCGCATCGTCCCCGAGTGCGTCGCCCTCATGCACCTCCAGGCCCAGATCCGCGAGGACAACGTCGACCCGGCCGAGTTCCCCGTCGACACCTGGGACATGGAGCGCGCCAAGGACGGCCTGGCGCAGTACCTCGACTTCCTCACCACCGCCTCCGAGATCGCCGAGTCGAGGAAGAAGCTCATCGAGTGGGAGGCCGTCTATGACCTCATCACCCTCCTCAACGGCCTCGAAGCAGGCGTCCCCAAGAAACCCCTCGTCGACGCCGTCCCCTCCCGCAACAGACCTCCCCCTCCCGCCGCAACAGCACCATCCCCGTCAGACCAACACTCCCAATCCTCCTCACACCAAACCACCGGCGGCGGCACCCCCATCATCGAACGCCCCTACTCGACCACCGACTCCCTCCCGCCCTCCCCTCCCCCGCCATCCCTCTCCGACCCAGCCCACAAATACCCCTGGTCCGGCATCAAAGGCCAAATCTTCACCATCCTCGCCACCCTCCTCCAACCGCCCCCCGGCCAATCCACCCCGGGCAACCCAGACGTACAAACCCAAATGGTGAACCACAACGGCATCGTGCCCCTCCTAAACTGCTGCGCCTACGACGACCACAACCCGTTCGCCAAAGAGCGCGTCACAATCTGCCTCAAATGGCTCCTCGACGGCTGCGAGGCCGCAAACAACTTCTTCCGCGAGCTCGTCAACCTCGCGCCCGCGCCGAACCTCAGGCCGCCGCCTGGCGGGACGACGGTCTCGACGATACGTGTAGACGGGATTCAGGGGGAGGTTAAAGTGCAGGTTCGGTCCAACTCGGCGCCTGCTGGTGATGGAGAGGATGGTGGAAGTGGCGGTGGTGGGAAGCAGCATGTTCATGACCCGTATGGGTTGGCGGAGGGCGCGGCCAAGATGAATTTGAGGTCTAACCATAGCACTGAGCCCTTTAGCGAGGACGACTTCATGTAGATGATGAGGATGATTTGAGAATGGTGTCTATCATTCAGGAATAGGTTCTTGGTGTTCAAAAAAGGACTTCAGTAAATCCAAATGGGGCTTTATACCACCATCATGAGAGGCGAAAGAGGATTCCAAAGGTCAATGTTTCGTTTTCTGTCTTTTCTATCACATGGTACGAAAACACAAGGCGAGCAAAGCAATCAAAAAACGACAGGTGAAAACACAATACAACTACAATCTACAACTAAACCACTTCAATTCCAAAAAAGAGCCAGAAATATAAAGTCAAAGTGGGAAACGACTACGCCAAGGGAGGGGAAGGGATGGGAAAGGTGTTTTTTGCCAAGTTCTTGTGTCCTGTGATCCATCAAAACTGCAAAAAGTTTCCAACCTTTATTTCCATCAAAGACCAGCTTTCAGAAAGAAAAAAACCTCCCTCGCAGGCCCATTTTCTTTTTGTTTTCGTTTCGAGAGATTGAAGGAAAAAGTGTGGGAACATTATGAGATACATTCGGGCCAAGTCAAGTCGAAAGCCGAAACAAGCCAAACCACCCGTGTTTTCCTTCTTTTTGTCGATTTACTTGAGAAACAAACATTACAAAGCCATGTCAGGATAACCTAAGCCGATGGAAACAAGAGCCTAGAGAGGGTGGGGAGAGGTGCAATAAAGGAGAGGGCAAGCGAGAAGGAAAGGGGAAAGTCACGGTAGGGTAGCCTTCTTCCGCCCCTATAGTCCGGAACGATGGAACCCACAGTGTATAGCACCTTGGTATGGAACAGACTCCCGACGCTCCGGCCTCACCGGACGCTGCGGAGCCGGAGCCAACAGGCGCGTCGGCATCATTCGAGGATCAGCGCTGGGCTGTTGCCGGTGGTAGTGCTGCTGCTGCTGTTGCTGCTGACGATACTGGTCAGGATGAATCACGGTTGTATAAGCCTGCGAACGATGATTGCCTTGCGTAGACAACGCCTCCGCCCCGGACATCTGGAAGAACGAGTCCCCGCTCAGATCCGCGGGAGGGCTGGGGAGGGCAGCCTGATCCCACGGCGAGGATATGCTCCGCGGCACCTGGTTATCCCAGGACTGACGCTGTCGATGGTGCTGCTCCAGCTGCGGGTGATGATGCTGCTGCTGGGTATACTGTTGATGCAAGACAGGCTGGCCCTGACTCTGGCTCTGGCTCTGACCCGCGTACGTGTACTGATGGCCTCCATACGACTGGCTGACGTCCACGTCGTCAAGCCTACCGCCGCCGTTGTCCATCTCGGACTCGGGGCTCATACTGCCGCTGCTGCTGCCGTAGCTCTGCGGGCTCATTGGGTAAGTCTCCTGGACGATGACGACGGCAGCGGCAGCGGCAGTAGCGGAAGGGGTGTACTGCTGCTGCTCGGGGTACTGCTGGTAGTCGCGGCTCTGACGGCGGGCGGTGCGCTTCTTGCAGTTGTACTTTGACAGGTCCCACTGGTCAAAGTGTTGGCGGTATGATCTTGTCCTGGTAGATGGGGTTGAGATGTTAGCAAGTTTTGCTTCTGGTGTCTATTCCTTGTATTCGACTGGATGATGTTGCAAGGGCTATTTGAGCATCTCTATTATCCCCCCGTGGGGGGCAAGATGCCATTGAAACAGGACTCGACGGCCAGGATGGAGAGGTAAGGTAATCATCGTATCAGAGCCAACTTCCGTCCTATGGGTTGCCGAGAAAGGAGGGGTTCCGTGGGGTCCGAGAAAATTCAAGATGTATCCAAACGGTTTGGGAAGAAAAGAGGGAAAAGAAAACTGGTTAGACTGACGAAGCCTTGAAGTTGTAGTCCTGCTGCATAATCTCCCGGACCTCATCCAGGGTACGATTTTCCTTGATGTAGAGCCTCGCGATAACGTCCTTGTGCTCTTTCCAAGCTTTCGTCATTGTCGTTGGTTTGGACGAAACTCTGGGGACGAGGAACGAAGCGGGATAGAGAGTCTTGTGATAGAAAAGGGCGGGCGCTACTACGGAGTCATTGGAGGAGGAAGACCAGGGCTGGAGAGACCGCGATGAGAGGCCAAGCGGTGAGCTTCATTGAAGTATGATAGGATGGACGACTCCAGGATGTTCTTGATAGACGGTAGTGCTTTCGCCCCGAGGGAATGGGAAGATAGCTATACAGGCTGTATATAGACAGGTCACGATGGGATAAGGCTGGCTGCTGCCTTTCATAGGATACTATAATCGCAGTGTAGGGACATCGCCATCGGCGTTTCTTGTCCAGGGCTGACGGACAGGCGCTAGAACACTTCTTTCCCTCCTTCACCTCTGCCTTGAAGAAAGCGGACACTTGTTCCGATTCCCAGGACTTCTGCACCTTGTACCGTAGGTGCATCAAGGTGCAACTTGCCCTTCGGAGAGTCTTGATTTACCCCCTGGCAAACAAGACAACGCATTCTATGACCGATAGCATGGCCATCGTGGAGAATCATGATGACGGGACGGGGCGTCAGTCTGCCTTTCTCTACGCGGCGCGCAGCTCCAAGGGAGCAAGGTGGTGGAGGGGGAGAAGGCTAAGCCCGCAACGTAAGGGGTGTCCTGTCTTGTGCCACACCACCCCATGAGCAGACCTTCACCGAACTTTCAGCGAAGGTGTGCGACGTTTGCCTACACTCCGCAGATCCCCCCTTGCGCAAAAGTGCAAAGAGTCTTCGTTTTTTTGACAGCTTGGTGGCTGAACTACCTACCGATAGGCATGGTGAGCGCTTTTTCTTCAGTTGCACCGTTGACTCAATACGCTGGCCGCATTCCTCGGCAGACGACCACAGCGAGGTGTGCGCCAAATACTGAATCAAATATGTCGCTGGTATCGACAGCCTAAGACGCGGGAGCGTTCTGCACTTATAAATAGGGCTCCGCGATGAGATGCAGACATCCACGCGGTATCGATGGTGGTATGGGCGCCTTGTCTCGGAGTGGAGGAGGGTGGTGAGGCACAGCCTGCGCCAAGGCATACATCCTACTGGCCAGCTATCAACTCGATTTTCTAGTCACTGTGGTTAATTCAAGGGAATCAGACTCGATCAAGGTGACTGTAAATGAACTCGGAATCGGACAAGAGTCAACGATCATAATTGTTGTTTGATTAGGGCTCGCTATATTATATAACCATAAATCAAAATGGTATCCTCCAAGCGCGTGTGCTGGAAAGGGCCGCAAAAAAAGCAACGGGGATGTAAGGCTGTGATGTTGCGCAGAAGTGATGTAACCAATCAGGTGTAGTGGTGTGGTCAAGTCGAAGTCATATGAGGTGCGATTCCGCCCTAGGAGACTAAACAACAAGGCAACCAGTGGTGCGCAAGTCGATGAGCCGCCCGTAGCAGTCGCCTCACTTTGTTGAGGAAAATAGGGCTGTCGAAAGGACTCTGCTCGAGGTATCGGACTAGGTCTGCAAGTGTAGGGATCTCAGACCTGAGGGTGTCGTGCGAATCCTTAGATCTTCTTCTCGTCAACAGGCGCTGTTGCAGCTGGAGCAGCCGCGGGTGCAGCCACAGCGCTGGAGGATGGGCCGTCGACCGGGCTCATGAGCTCTGGGCTCGCGGTAGGGTCGTGACCAGTAACACCGGCCTCTTGTGCTGAATGGCCGGACTGGGTGGTTGCGGCTGGCGCGATGGAAGGCATCTTCTCGTCCTGGGCAACGACGGGCGAAGTAGGCGTGGAGTTGGGCTCCGCGGGGCCGGTGGCTCCCGCAACGTTCTTGATAACCTCAAACCACTTTTGCGCCTCATCGGGGGTGTGGGCCTGGAAAGCCAGCTCGGATGATCCGGTGAGCTTTGAGCTGATTGATTTGCTCTTGTCCTTGCCCTTGACGTTGAACTTGTTTCCGTTGGGAAGCCCAATGACAGCGTCTGGCAGATAGATGGAAAGCTCTGGTTTGGGGTCAGAGCGAGTGTTGTCATTGTCCTTGAACTCGTGGAGGAACTTGGTCGGGGTAACAACGTAGTAGCCGGTAGAGTAGCCCCAGGAAAGCTTGTTACGCGACTTGCGTTCCAGGGAACCCTCAATGAGAGGCTTGACGGAGGCGTGGTCCATGTTGGGGAAGTTGATGGCCTCGACAGACCGCGGTGGGTCGTTGGGGTTGACCAAGCGATCGCCGCTACGCGTCACGAAGCCGTTCCACTCGAAATCACCCGGGACTCTCTGGATGGCACCCAGCATGTCGGAGTAGAGAGCGCGAGTCTTCTCGGCCTGGCCACCGGTGAGCTGGATGAACTGCTCCATCGCCTGCTGAATAACCTCGATAACGTGTGCCTCGAAGTCCTTGAAGTTGTTTTGGACAGCAATCAGGTCGTTGCGGTTGTTGTTCTCCTCGAGAACCTGCTTGTGAAGTCTGTGTAGGACACCACGGTTGACGACGTAAGGATCGTCGGTTCCGTGCATTTTGCCGCCGGCGGACTCGAAGGAGGCGGTCTGGGAGCCGAGAAGCTCAATGTGCTTCTGCGTGGTGTTGCGAGCCTTCTCAACCTCCTTGGCACCCTTCTGGGCGCCGTGTGCCAGCTCCTTGCCCTTGTGCTTGATCTCCTTGTGCAGGCGTTCGAGGACCGGGAGGATGGAGCCCTTGATGGTCTTCTCCGTCTCGAGATTGGTGTTAATAATCGCCTGAGTATTGGAGCGCATGTTCTCAAAGTAGGCTGCGATACCGCCGAGGCTCTGGTCGAAGTGGTGGCCCTCCTTCAAGGGATGGGAGATGGTCTTGAGAGCCTTTTCGTATTCCTTGGACTGGGCCTTGTGGATCTTCTCGACGGCTCCGATATAGTCCTCGAGGTATCCAACGGAGTGCTTCCATGCTTGGAGTCGCTCTGCGAGGAGGCCAGCGGTCTGCATGTAGCTATTAGCATGTTTCATTGTGGATGGTTGTTGTGGAGCTCAGAGGCGTCTAGTATTGGGCGCCGAATGGTCCATACTACGACGCCTCGACTATTTGGAGCTGCGCGAAATGACTGATTCACTTACGCTGGTGGGATCGACTTCGGGAACAGCATCGTCGCTAAGGACAGAGTTGTTGGTCATGATGGTCCCCGACCTCTGGGGGAGGTCCTTGGTGTCGGCCATGGTCGTGATGTGCAAGATCGGGTTGCGCTCGAATGAGGAGTATCGTGAATGCTACTAGGTGATGTGTCGACGGTGTGTCGTGGATTGTTCTTGGAAACGTTCGTCCAAGGTTGTCTAGAAAGATGGGAGAACAAATGTAGTGAACCACATGGAAAGTGAAAAGGGCAAAAGAGGTTATATTTGTCGGACATTACATGTGTTCCGTCCCTCTCCTCGATCGCCCATTCCCCGCCGCCGCCAGTGACAGCTGGTAATTAAAACCCGCCCAAGCTCCTGCACCAAGACCAGGTCGAATGACGTTCTCCACCAAGCCGCCAGCGCAATCTTCCTGGTCTTAGCGCCCCTGGCTGGGAGTGCACCTGCAGTGCTGCACCGAGATTTGCTTGTCGCACACAAGCACGACCCTCTTGCTGGCCCCAAATCCATCAAATGGGCCCCCAAAGGGTTGTCCAGAGTGGGGTCGGTCTGGACCACCCCCTGTGACGATCTCGACATTTTCCTTCCCAAGGGACAAATCCTCCCACTTCTTTCGTTACTCCTGCCTTCAGCCGAGTTCCATATTGAGCTGACAGTCAACACTGAGCTGGCTACGGTACCACAGAGACACCTCGTTGACCCTACCTTACCACGCTGAAATCCCCGAGTGCTCCCCTTCTCAGCTGGTCCGGGGGTAGGAAGCAACTTACTGGATAGTAGGTGTCCGTCTTGCATCGTCACATCCGCTAGACGGGAGGCCCATGAGTGATTTGGGGGCTTTTTATGACGTCAACAAGTCCCTTAGTTTCCCAACGCACGATGGCGCTAACTGAGATGAGACGAGTGCCCTCCTGTCTCACTACAATCGTCTCATGTTAGCACATGCACACAAATCTCACACAACGACTAACACGCGTCTCAACTTCACAGCAAATTCCATAACCTACAAGTGAACAACCACCACCAGGATATCCCTCCTAGACGCAAATAAGCTTTCCCTCTCTCCGTCCAGCGAACGTTGATGCCGCAGGTGACGGCCGCGATGACATGATAAAACAGGGCCACGACCTGAGGCGCGCATACCCGACAGGTTGGCATTGGGCAGACGTCAAAGGGGTTAGATGATGACGCCCATTGGTCAGGCCATCTGAGTGCAACGCAAGAGAGGGTTCAGATGCCAGGGTTTTCTCATCGGAGTCCATTCCTTGTGGTTGTGTTACCCCTCCGTTCTACCGATACTAACTAAGCCATCGCCTGTTTGTACCGTATTCTCAGAAGAGCAAACATCTGGTTCACGATACAGGTAGCAGAAGATGACTGCTGGGTATCTAGGAGCATTAAGATTCTACCAAACGCCTCGACAAGCCGCAGCCTTCAGTACCAACATGGTCAGTTTCAGCAATGGAACAAGGCCCTGTCTAGATCGCTAGTGAACTCATGTATGCTAACCAGGTTCCGAGTGCCTCGCACCATCCACAAGCTTCCTGCGCTCCCCCACGCTCTCAGATATCTACCGGACAACCTATCGCCATCACGTCAAGCCATGACTTCGGTGCTATGGAAAAATGATGCCATCGTCACCACATCCAGCATCCCACCTCGGTCTCACCGCGCCACAGCCACACACCACGACAACCTTTAAACTTTACTTTTCCCCCTTTACCCCAAAAGCATCCAGACGCCTAGGAAACTCCGAAGGACGAAAAAGACTTGACCTACCAACCTTTCTACTGCGCAGCACGTCGCTATTACTTTTTCCGCTTCTCAAAGCCATCAGACAATCGAGAAGGGCTGCAGATTGTGTATGGCGGTTCAATTTCCAGCACCCCAGGTACGAACGTGACACCCGCAAGTGGGTAACATAATCGTCTGCCGCTCTCCAGGTAGGCACGTTCTTCAGAGAGTATTCTCTACCGAATACGTAGAAGATAAGAGTGACAATAAAGCCATAATAAAAACACTAAGACAATCAAGAATAACGAGCCAGACTACCTACTTGACCCGGTGACCCCTCGGCATGTTCGCTTTAGGCTAAGTTGACTGTAACCTCTCCCCCTCCATTCGAAATTTCTCCCTTATCGGGGCGTCCGACATCGGCCGGGAGGCCAGCCACACCCACCGCCGCCGTACCGGAAGACACCCCCCACAACGCCGTGGCCGCCGCCACCACCCCTCGGCATTACGAGCATGTTCTCCGTTGCATGGGGCCAAGGGGGACTCCGTCGTCGGGATCCGGTGTAAGTGATTGGCAATGTTGCCGTCGTCGCAGTCCCGTGGCTGTCAATCATTGAGATCATTTCACTATAGCTACATTGAACAAGATATTGAGAAGGTCGAGTATTGACTTTTTTTGTCATCTTTGGTATCTCGCAATCGACACGCCGCGCTCTAAGCGGTGGGTATATCGTACATCCCTATTTGCCTTTCCCAGTATCGCCCCAGTGGTAGATCCCACGAACTATTAGATCGATCCCTATACTTTGTGTGTGTCCCAGCAGCCGATGAGTCCTGATGCCTCCAAGGCGCAAATCTATATCGTGTAAAAATCTCAAAAGACCAGTCCCATGGGAAAGTGTCCCATTTTCACCCATCAACGCCGATGCCATGCCTGAAATAGTGGTTGCCGCCCCCTCTATAGTCGTAATATAATCAAGTGAGTGAGTATGGTGTGAATCATCTCCGCATAGTAGCCTTAATAAACTCTCTCCCGTCCCTGAATGAGATGGATTCGGCGATCATCACCGCCACCCTGGACAGCCTGGAGCAGGTTGCTCATGCTCTGAGGGCGATGCCATGAACGGTGCGAACCACCCGGAGTAGTCGGCTCGCTGCCGCCACCTTCATGCTCAGGGATCATGCCAAGCGGGTCTGCAATGGGAGCCTCGCTCGCGGGAGGCGTATTGGGGGCGCTCATGGCAGAGAAGTAGTCGGGGAGCGCGTCACTACTCGGGCCCCGCCGAAGGGGAGTCTTGACAGCCGTTGTGTAACTAGGCACCTTGCTCAAGGTAGCCATGTCAGGGAAGTCGAGGTGCTCGGGCGAGTTGCGTCCTGAGGAGTGCGAGTTGGGATGTTCCTCGGCGCTGTTGTGGCGAGTCAAAGCTGCCGATTGTGATTGTGAGTTCTCTCCCGTGGGGACAGATGTCGGGGCTGCGACGTCCTCCGTGATGGCGTTCAATGAGTTGAAGGAGGTGTTGCGGTTCGTAGGATCGAGAGATACGTTTTGCAGGCGATGCGACAGTGCGGCGGGAGCAACACCGTGGCCGTTCATCATGGCGAGGGAAGCAAGGTTCTCTGATGAGCCGGCGCGAGATTGGGCGTAGAAAGGACTGCTGAAGCCAGACTGGATAGCTGGGGTCTGGAAGCCGCTCATGTCGACGTCTTCGTAGAGTTGATCGAGGACATGCTCGCCGTAGCCGGGTGGTGCGATACGGGTGACTTCGGCCTGAGCGGGCGCGCCAGGAGCTTGGTCGACGAGAACTCCATGCTCGTCCAGGGGCATGTTCGGAGAGATGAAGATGGAGACGGGAAGAGTGGCTCGGAGCTAGGAATTGTCAGTTTTGCGAAGCCATCGCAGAGCGAAGTCACAGCGGCTCACCTCTGAGATGTGACCATCGGGGTTCTTCAGGGCGACAACAAGCTTGAGTTTGTGTCGGACCTTGATACCGTTGTGGTTGAGATCCTGGACACACTGTCGCAGTCTCTTGGGAAGGTTCAGCTTCTTCTCAACCATCCACCCCTCTTGGCCGGTATCTTCGATCGTATCGTGCCAGTGCTCATCGCGCTCGACGTCGAACTTCCAGTTGGAGACTTCTCTTTCTGTCCTGTGTTCCTTGAAAACGTTGCCCGTGGGACCCTGTAGTGTGCACTCGCGGATTTCCAACATCTTGACTGAAATCTCCCCCATTTCGAGGCCCTTGAGAAGGGGTGTAAATCGCATTTGTAGTGGTACTGTGGCACCGAAGACGACAGCCTTTTGCGGGATGATAATGGAGTAGTCGACTTTGTTCGGCCAGATGTTCTCGACGCTCATGGCGTGGAGGAACTCGAGGGCGGCGGGTTCGAGGGTGCGGATAATGCGCAGTGCCTTGTAAGCGTGCAGATCGTAGGCGAGCTTGCCGCGGGCGACGGTGGCCTTGAGCTTGTAGGTGATGCTCGCTTCGGGGATGCCTTCAACGCTCTCGGCGGTGTTGCCAGGCAGGGTGTACTCAAAGGGCCACTCATAGTTGCCGGCCGGCAAGATGGTGTTCTTGCCACCAGTGCCGCCGACAAACGGAGCCCAGCGATGTTGGAGCAGTGTGGTGGTCTTGTCGACTTTTTGGCTGGAGACGCCAGAAGCGGCGGTTTTGGAGTAATCCCACCTATTGAGAGCGCAAGTCAGTGGACTGATCTGCAGCAAGTCGAACCGGAAATAAGGAGGGCCTCCTACGTTAATCGGTGGGTGCCAGTCAGTCGCAGGTGGACATCTTCGATCTTGAGCGGCGTGGGCAAGCAGAGCACCACGACGCCCTTGAGGATCTGACCGGCAGATTCGTCCTCTCCTCCGCGAAATACGATAAAATCATTGTCTAGTCTGTGGGGTGTCAGACGTCAGCGGGGAGGCCCTTCACAAAACGGGACTAACAAAGAGTCACCGCCGGAAAAGAGAAATTGGAGAGAGAGGGAGAGAGGAAAGAAAGGGCGGGATTTGGAGACGTGGGGCAAGAGGGCATACCTGATTTCAAAAAGCGAAGCAGCATGCTTGCCTGTGACGGTTGAGAATGGATTGAATGACGGCATCTTCAAAGGTTGGGTGTGACATGAACCAAGCGGTATGCCTGGGTAAGAAGAAACAGCCTAAACATCTGGGAAGGAGAGGTCTGGAGACGAGCTTGTATTTATCGACGGAGCGTCCTTTCTGGGTACGAAGTACTTGGGACATTCGTCAGATCAATGGTAAAGGTGGGCGTAGGCGTGGGCAAGCGACCAAGCGCAACAAGCAAAAAGCTCGCGCCTTTACCTCACAAACGGGCAGCCCACCCACGTCGATTTGCGAAAGCGTGGGAATTGGAAGCCGAAAATCGAAACCCACGCCCGTCATCCACCACGGCCACGCCCCTGCCCCTCGGCGGGTTCTCGCTCTTGGTGGGATAGGTGGGGCATCCTTGATTCGGCAGCAAAAAAAAAAGATTGATAGATGAGGTGGGTGTAAGCCCGGGAGGTGTGCGAAGAGACGAGTTCCTTGTTCAGGGTCCCCATGGACCTTGTGGACGGAGAAAGGATAAGGAGAACCCACGCAGTACCTAAGGCAAGGAAGAGAGGAAAGGGGCGGTACGGGTACGTACACTACGGATACAGGCGCAGGAAGGGGGAATTCCGTCGGTTTGCTGGCTTTCAGGAGGATGGATGATGAGGGTCAGCGGCAGCCACCGGGCAAGGAGGACGGCCCAAGACGGAGCCGGGGTGTGTTGTGTTGCCCATCCAGATGGGCCATGGCGAAGAAACGAGGTGCAGCAGGGCTGGGTCGATGCGCCAGAGAGACCCAGAGGGAAGGCGAGAATGAGGTAAGGTACGGATGGTCAATGGAGCGTGCACCCTGAACCTGCTTGCTTCCTGCTGTCACATAATTAAGGTACCTATTGAAGGTACAGTGTATCCTGTAGGTACCCCCGTACCCTTTTCCACGCGGGAGAGAACACCGACTTGACACCGACTGATGGAATGGCAGTGGCTGTCGCTGTCAG